TTACGACGTCTACGGCTTCGTTTGGGGGCCTGGATGTTGGTGTATTTACAGTATTTCCGTGCTTTTGCGCGTTTATTTTTTTTAACAAGGACCTTGCAGACCCGAGCGCCTTAACGACCTAAAAAACACTTCTATAACACGTATTTTTAAGACTTGCACGACTTTGTTTGCGGGCCTGAATGCGCTGGTATTTGCGGTTTTTCTTTTGGCGCGGAAACGTGGGTGACCTGGGGTGGGGGGGGTGGGGGGGCTGATCGCGAGCATGTTCAACAACATCATCATATCCATCAACATCATCATATCCTTCAACCGGGGTCGCATCATAGTCATACACATCATCGTCATTTTGACTGTGCCACTCTACATCTTCGTTACCATCACCATCATCATCATCACCGGGATACACAATATCATCATACGCTGTCCAACCTGAGCATTCACATCACGGATAATTGGCCCAGCTATGCTCGGACACGTGTGCCGACGGTGCCCCGTTTGACTGCACAGCCGGCAAGCATGCCTTGTTTGAGGCATGACCTCCAACAGCGCCGGGGCCGGGCGATGGCCCAGCACTGGACCGTGTGCTCGACCTCGCCGCTGACGAGGCGCCCAGCCTCCTGCCCCTGCGGCCCTAAACCGGGACCGCACGCAGTAATGTGATGCCGTAGGACTGTCGTAGCTACCGGATCCTCTTGCAGTCGGAAAAGTCCGTTGAAAAAAAAAAAAAACACCACAACTACTACCACCACCACGACGACGACTACTACTACAACTTTTTTGCTACTATTACGACCTCTGTACCTTCGATTACTATTATTGTGTCTAGTGCCAATGCAATATCAAATATTACGAACCATTTTGCTGCCATTTTTTTTGCCACTGTTACTAGTACGACGACCACTATTACTGCTACATCTGTTACCACTATATTTTATTGTTGGCAACGGTATTGTTGTCATCGTGCTTACATTTTCTATTGTTGCTGCGATTGTTTGTGTAGTTTTGTATCCACATTATCGTTGGCAGTTCTAGTTAGTATCACTAAACGTATCATGGTGAATATTATTACCAAGCTTATTATCGGTAGAATTGTTTGTGGTATTTTTCGTTATATTTGTTCTTACTAGTCGTTTCTGTTGTTCTTATCACCACCACCACGACGATTACGACGACGACGACGACTACTACTATTACTACTACTACCACCACCACTACTACTACTACTACTACTACTACTACTACTACTGCTACTACTACCACTTCTACCCTTTTTGCTATTCCTACTACCACCACCACTACTACTTCTGCTAGCACAACCAGTACTACTGGTATTAGTACGGGTACGAGTGCGAGAAGTATTTCTTCGACGACGACAACGACTATGACATGGGCGATACCACTGATTGAAAACACTCCAAACGATGACGTTCTTGCGGCATAATACCCATTCATGTTTCCAAGAAGAAAAGGTGTGGAAACATTTTATGCGGCCGAGGTTGCCGCATACAAAACATGCCCAAACCATTCAGGCATCCAAAACGGCGAATGCAGTACCATTCACCCCTCCCGTGCCAAGCCTTCTAGCGGTTCTTGTCCGGGCATACACAAATAGGAAGGTGGTTGTGCCTCTGTTGTTAACACCGTCGTTTTGCTCGCGTTCAAGATCAAACCAATTTTCTGAAGATCCCGCATGAAACTTTGTAGCACGGTTACGGCCCGCTGATTTTGCAAACAAGAGGATATCACTTGCAAACGGAGGTCGAGTAAGTTCGCCAAGCTATCATGCAAATCCCAACCCGAATTGAAATTTTGTCGTCCGCCACTTGTGCATGGCATGTTGTAAAAGACTGCAAAATAACCGGGTGCTCAACACGCAGCCTTGCCGGACACCCGCATGAATATTGAAATCTATGCTGTGCGCACACTGCCCAAACACTTCTGATCATAGTGCAAGTTGTTGTACGAAGGCTCGTTTTCGTTGGGGTGGTGGTGGTAGTTTTGTTCGTAACACTAGTAAGGGAAGGGTAATAGGAATGGCAGTGGCAGTGGTGGTAATGGTAGTCGTTAAAGAAATGAAGGAAAGAAACGGTAGTAACAAACATCCCAAAAATAATAGTAGTAGTCATAATAGCATTGGTAGTAGTCATAATCGTATTAGTAGTAGTCATAATAGTAGTAGTAGTCGTCGTCGTCGGTGTCGTCCTAGTCATAGCAGTAGTAGTAGTAGTAGTAGTAGTAGTAGTAGTAGTAGTAGTAGGAGTATTAGTAGGAGTAGTAGTAGGAGGAGTAGGAGTAGGAGTAGAAGGCGGAGTAGGAGACGGAAGAGGAGGAATACCAATGGCTGCATAAGCGGCAATTTCTTTACCTCCGCACCGTTCTGCAACTGCACGTCGAAGGTCGAAGAGGGTCTAGTTCCCAGTGCCAACTGCGCTGCAATTAGCATGCGTTGCTTCTGGACATCGCGCAGTGAACACGCAGCATTTGCACAAGACGGATGTTGAATTGCGTGGTTTGCTGCGACGTTTGGTTGGGCCACCCGATGGCGTTGATTGGAGTGCGCAATGGCATCGAATCCTACATTCATGGAATGAGCGCGTCCGACATTGTTGTCAATGCGTTGGTGTGGAATCATGGTCAATGCAATACCTGCTTCAGCGTATTGGCAACTTGCTTTTTACATTGCGTTGTTACCAGGCCATCGAGAAGTCAGACGCATTTTGCAGTGGGATTTCCTTAACCGTGCTACGATTACTACTTCTACGACTACTGATATTATTATGATTACTATTCCGACTGGTACTTCTAGTTTTAGTTCATTTTTTCTTTTTACCTCTCCTTTTAGGTTTTGTGCGATTTTTGGTGTGATTGTTTTTCTTCAGATGATTAGTATCATTCTGATCATCTTCAGTGGTACTCTTAATATTATTTCTAGTATTTCCACCATCAGTACCGTTACAATTACTTTCATCAATATTTCATGTTATTTCGACGATTACTGCCACCACGATTATTTCCACTACCACTACTACCACCACCACGACGACGAGCACGACGACGACTACTACTATTGGTGCTCCTGTTACTTGTAGTACACGTTTTTTCCCTTCATGTGTGCACGCGGGCGCTGCCGTCCGCATTTACAGTTGCCCTCAACATCCGCCTTCGCGGTTTCAAGCTCGGCAAGATGAGTGCCGCTCGTTGTGAGTGGCTCATAGCTTGCGGTCGACACCACACTTGCGGCCCCGTTTGGCGTTTGTTAGAACCCCCGCCGATTGCACTGTCGGGGCCGCATTTGCACTGGCACGTGTCGCAAAGGCACGCATTCGCCCCGATATCCGTGAGCTTGCAAGGTGCAAGCTAGGCATCCTCGCTCTCGAACTCGGTGGCTGCTGGAGCACTGAAGCTGCCAGTTTTGTAAAACTCCTCCGTGCGCTGGCCGCCACGTTTCCTCCCGCGGACCTTGCATTTCAGTTTTTACCTCTCGTTGGTCAGTGTTACTCTCCTTCGCGGCTGCCCGCATAGCTGCCAGCCAGCACATCCAACGTCGACTTTGAAGCACCGCTGTGCAGGGACATCCTGGCAGGCTCGTCGTTCGAGCCGCCACTAGCAAGCCGCCTGCGGCCGAAGTACCGCTGTTCTGCTGGAACAACCCTGCCTAGCAAGCCGGTGAAACGTTCTGGGGAGAACAGATACATTGCGACGTGCATGTTTTGTATGTTTTGTTCCTGCTCATGAAGATCGCCCGGGCCCGTGGCATCAAAAGAGCATTGATTTCGTTTTTGATAGCACATATTGCACCACATGACAATTTGTGCGGCGTGGCACGTCTGCTTTCGAGTCTCGCAATTCGGCGTCGGTTTGTTGGAGTTTTGTGGGTGTGACTTGATTGGGACATGTTTGGGGTATTTGGTTTTGTTCATGCATTTGGCAGTAATGACCCGATACCTTAAACATGAAGGCCTCAGGGTTACAGGCAAGGTGATGGGGTTGCTGCCGCGAGCCACAGCTATCAAGCAAACGGGTTCTAGGCATAGCGCATCATAGGGCCATGAACCCCAAATTTCAATCCCGGTAGGGTTCACATCAGGTTCACATTTTATAACTCCAGGTGCTTCCGTCACCGTAAACTGGAGCCTGTGGGATGTTTGGGGCCGCCGGGATGTGTAATAGGACCCAATAAGTCCATATAAGTCCCATATCCATATGTACGTGGGCACGCGTGGTGGCATGTCGTTTGTTTTCTCCACACCTTGTTAGCAAGCCAAAGGATTGGTGTGGAATTGGACCAGCCACTGGGGAAGAATGCCCCGTGGCAGGGTATTTGTCGAACTTTATCCGGTGCAATCAGCTAGCTGCCACATTGCCCAATGCGTGAACCAAGGACGGCTCCGTCAAAGGAAGGGCTTATTTTTCATGCAAGCCCAATCATGGAATTTTTGCTCGGGCAGGACCCAAGGCAGCAATTCAGTCTGTACGAATCGCGGGTTGTCACGGGCAGTTTTTATTCGGTATAGGGCCCTGTTTGCGCAGAGTGGTGTGCTTCGTTCGCAGTTCACGCTGACTGATGCATGCGACGACCTGTGTTTTCAGGAAATCTGGTCACCATTCCAACCGGTTCGTTGGCGGAGCAACCACAACACAAGGCTGCATCCAAATCGGAGGTGCGCAGGGTAAGTGTGTTCACACTTGTTTCACCGGAGGTTTCATTTTCGTTCAAGAAGCAACTAGCATGCTGGCAGGCGTCTGGCCCGTTAGTTCCATTGCCGACACTCCCGGAAGCGCCTGAGCCTGTGGAGGCACATTTTCGGGTCGTGTTCAGCTTTTCATGTTGCACTGCAGAATGACATCATGAGCTGCCAGAGGTTCGTCAGGAGTTTACAGACTGTCTGAATCAGCAACCGCCCGTACCAGTCAAGGATTAGAAGTGGGGAGTAAGTGGGGCTTTCCGTGTCGTCAGCACAACAACTGCCCGCCAGGACAACGCAAGCAAGAATGGAGGTATGGCCGCAGAGGACATATCGGCGAAGCCGCTGCCGGCACCAAACGTTGATGCACCCATTGCATTGCAACCCACACAAGTGGAGGTGGCATGGTTCAACTTAAATCAAGTTTCGACCTTTGTTTCCGAGTGCGGGCTGTGGTGGGTTCATTCCCGTCGAGCTACCGTGATGCTTGGTTGCACTGTCTATGTTGTTTTTGTGTGTTGTGTGATTTGGCCAGGAACTTGCAAGTCGCAGCCGCATCACAAAAGACATGGAGGACGGACAATGGAGCCAATTGCATTGCCGTAGACGATTCCGTGTTTTGTGGTGCTTGTCCTGCCCGCTGCATGCGTTCATCTCCAGATGTTTCTCTGCAACAAGCTGTTACCTATATGATGGGGTCGACCCGAACATGACGCCAGATGCATCAAGTTGCTTGTCACTCGTAATTCCTCCGCGTTGGAAATGTGTGCATGTATTTCGCTTTCCTGCCGCTGCATGAGAGCAGAACACGGTTCATTCTGGTTCCTAGCTCAGCGGCTGAACTACATGCTGAGCATCTCATGAGGATCAGTTCGAGGAAGAGTTGCTGGTGTTTGAAGCGCGCCAACGACCGGAGACCAGAATGTCCATGATGGTGGATGATACCGTCATGAAGGCACAGCTTGTTTGCTGCCACTAGGCCCACTGCCCTGTGTGCATGTTGACGTTTCGCCACCAGGCAGTACAGTTCGTTCCCGCATCAGGAAGCAGATTTTTGTGCACTGCAAGCTTCGGACTCGTTCTGCAGGCTGAGGCAGCAGTTGCTCAAGATGAGGCAGCACCTACGCAGAAGAAGCGCAGGCACGGCGTCGCAGGGTGTGGTTCGACGTTTGTTTTGCATCTGCCCGCAGCACAGTAGGTGTTGGCCTTTCACTGTTGTGGTGCCGCAGGAAAAGGAAAGCTCGCGATCCCACTGGTTTTGGTGTTTTTCTCCGGCAAAAGCAGGCACCTTGTGCCGGCATCAAGCATCATCAGTGGTTCGGGTGTTGTTTGAGTTGCACAAGGCACCATGATTGCACCGCCTGTGTCCGTGGAAGGCTTCAGTAATGAAACACCATTAATATTGCCGCTGAGCTTACTTTTCCTCAGTGCTCCTTGAACACATATGGTATCAAGTACATTGGATATGGTTGAATTATGTTGAATTCGAAAAGACCATAAAAGACCCGATGCTACACCCACATTGGGCATTTGCATTTGAGGTGCCGAGACAGTGGCGACATAGCATAACCATACCTGGACCGATCTGCTTCTGTGTATAATCAAACAAGCAGCAGTGCAAATGTTGATGTTGTTGTTGAATGTTGTTGATGCTGTCGGCCGCCAATTCGGGGCAAGCACCCAGGCAATGGATCTTTCAGCAACCTTTCGCGACATAGCGAATGCCGCGACTCGAGAGTGGGCTGACCTCGGGGACTGCCAGTGTGTTGTTGTACCCAGAGACTCCAATATCCCTTAATTAAGGAATATTCCTTAAATCATGAAAGGGATCCTACTAGAATTTAAGGAATATTCCTTAATTAAGGGATATTGGAGTCTCTGGGTAGCATGCACTCTCGCTCCGGACACAGGTTTTTCGCCGTGTGCAGCATTCGAAGGTTCGGGCCATGGCACCAAATGCAAGCTGCTGCAGGACGAAGCACGTGCTGCATTCCGTTCCGGTGGCAAACTTCCGCGCCCGACACAGGACCAATATTTTTGAGTTGCTCCGAACCTGTTGTGTCAGACTATCCTGGAAGCCCATATATATATATATATACATACATACATATGTATGTTTGTACGTGTGTATTATATGTATATCACCTTATGTCACATGTGTTATGCCACGGTCAGTGCAGGCGCCAAAAAGGTTCCTTCCGGAGCCTTTCAGCAGCGCTGTGTACAGCATGGAAGCCAAAGCAGCTGGCATGGAAAGCCGTGAGGCGTTGGTTCGGGTTTGGGGCGTTTAGGGCTGGGTTTATGATTTAGGGTTTAGGTTTTAGGGTTACTGCAACTTGTATCGCATCATCAAAGGTTTTCGCCAGGGATGCTTGAATATGGGGTTTTGGAAAAAGCCGCCAAGTCATGGATCTCCGTCTCCATGTGTGCGTTTGTCGTTTGTCACCCAAAAAGCTAAACCCCTAAACACCGAAACCCTAAACCCCCAAACCCCTGAACCCCTAAAACCCCTAAACCCCTAAAACCCCGAAACCCTAAACCGGTGCAGGGCCGACGGCCTTGGTCCGTGCAGGTATACACCGTGATTTGGCACGTCGACTGGGGCCAAGTCAAAGGCCGATCTCACTGTTGCCGCTGTTGCCAAGTGGGAGTTTCCGAAAATTAGGGGTACCTTTAAAGGGATCCTTTAAGGGTTCCTGAAAGAGGTCTATAAGGGTTCTATAAAGGGATTCAGGGTTTAGGAAGTTTCCGAAAATTAGGGGTACCTCTTTTGAGGGTCCTTATAGTAGGGATCCTACCATTTGGGGTACTACATCGGGGTCCCCTATTTTTGGAAACTGCCAAATCGTTTTTTGGACATGGACTTGTGTTAGGACTGCTCTTAGGCGTTGTATTCCAGTTCTTCTGTGTCAAGCCAATGGAAAATTATTGCATGAAGGCTGTTCGAAATTCCCATTCGTTTCTTGTAGCACAGAACCGGGGAATTGCAACTCGCAGGGTTTTATCTTGTGGCAAGTCTTGAAGATTCAAATTTGGAGATTGGAGGTTTCGAAAGGGTTGATCCCAGTTTCAAACTGACCCCTTACCAAGGGATGTCGGTTGTTCCATGTTGGTCCCATGTCAAGACATGGCGCTGATGTCATGTCTTTAGTTCGCCCCCTCATTTACGTGATGCCGGTTCATGAGAATCAGATTAAGTCATAATTCCCCACCACTGCGCGGTGGCGATACATCCTACATCTTAGACCCGACCTCTCGTAGGCTGATGTGAGTTGATCACACAGCAGAAGCTTGAAAGAATAATGATATCCTTAACCCGACGTCTCATTGGGCCATGGCCGTCGGTCCCGTATCTTCAGCTCGCCCCCTCATCCGTTCGGACACCGGGGGAGGGGACCTGAGGGTCAGATAACCTGAGGACCGCAGGACCAGTACTATAAGGGTTTACAAATTACGAATACTATTGTGGGGTTCCTTATTGTGATTACATTGTCATGTACCGTAAACCCCTATTCTAACTTTTAAGGCCCCTGTATTACCACAAGGAAGACGGCAGAGCCAAACCCAGCTTTGCCAATTGTGGCAAACAGATGCCCCCCCCCTCCACCGCAAAACAAAGCTCCAGCAAAAACATAAAGCGACGGCGACACAAATTCAAGAAAAGAAGCGACATACCAACACGAAGCACAACAACTGTTAAACGCGAAAACAAGGTTTAGCAAGAAAAAGGCATCCAAAGATATCAGCAGTACACAACACACACACACAAAATACTGAGCAAATTTTGAGTTCCAAATCCTTTGTTTTGTCAAGTCACCCTGGAATCAATCAGAGGCATGTGTTTTGCACGGTTTCACTCATGTTGAGCTCTGGAGCTTACCTTTGTCATTGCTACAGAGCACTGCGTAGCATCCATGCCAAGATGCTACATATAGCCTCCGTTTCGTTGTAGTTCTTGTTTTTGGTTAAACAAATTTTATAGTTAGGATCCTATAAGGTAACCCCAAAAAGGAACTACAATGGAGACTATAGGTAGAATGCTGCGTCATGGGGTTCTGCATGTATTCTTGCTTTCGTGCTGCCCTTGTTTCCGAATGTGCGCACATATCCAGTGCCAATGCAGGGGAAGCTTTTTCCAATGAAGATGACGCCGAAAGCAAATTCGACGAGCTGGACGGCGGCGCGTATGCTGCAATGCTGGTGGACAAGGACGGTTGCCTTAGCCATCGAGTCACCGTAGTTTGTTCAACATACTCGTCCCTGGATTGGTTTGCGTGGAGGGGTGGTAAGTAATCGCTTGCCCAAACTATCAGCCATCGTGTCTCCCTAAAACTCGTAACATCTTATCCGCTGAACTTTGCGATTTCTTTTGCAAGCTTATGTGTTTCGGACCCATTCAACTTGAAGTGGAGACCGCAGTATTGCAGTCACACCTACGAGACGTCGCATACGGACACATGTCGGCAGGTAGGCGGAGTTCTGTTTGAAGTTCATGGAGGTGTATTTCTTTCTCTGTCCGTGCAGTATCGCCCCGAGGCCTACAACGAGATCAAATACTACGGCACTCGGGGAGTCTCTGGCACAATTTGCCGAGCTACGGGCCGAACTGGGAGTTTGTGAATTTAGGGGTACCTTATCTTGGGGTCATTGTTATAAGGATCCTACTGCTTATAAAGTAGGGTACTATGTTTGGGTCCCCTATGTTCCGAAACTCCCAACTTGAGATGGCCAAAAAACGATACTGACGATGCAGCTTACAGGACGATGAAGCAGTACGACATAAAAGAGAAGGTTTTTTTGTGGTACATCGTATGAGTATCTACCAGGATTCGTACTAGCAGTGGTGGTGAAAGGTAGCCCGAGACCCCTGAATCCTTAAAGGAGCTTACAACCCATAAAGGCATCCTACCCAACCTAAACCCTTTGAAGACGCATGAAGCTCAAGGAAAGGTTCAGACGGAGATGGAAGAATACTGGAAACGGCACTTCAAGGCCCCACTTACGCCTGACTGCGCTGTGAGGGTTCCGTGAGGGCTCTTGAGTTTAACTGGTGTTGGCTGTTTAGCTTGGTTTGGGCTTTCGGGTTTATAAGGCTCGTAGATTTCCCTCCCTCCCTCCCTCGCCCTCTCTCTCTGTCTGTCTGTCTGTCTCTCTCCCTCTCTCCTCGCTGGTTCTGGGTGCATCTGTGCCATTACTGGGTGCCAGTGGGATGCGCCAGTTCTCGCTGCTGCAGGGATCGAAGGCTTGGGACCAGATCAAGAAGAAGAACCAACCCAAGGAATCCTCCGCAGTGGAAGTTGAGGTTAAGGACCATGTCCCGTGGTTGCAGAGAATGTTCTGAGCTGGTGCTGATCTGAATGGGTTTCTGCTCGCGAAGAACTGTGTGATGTTCAACCAAATCGCAGTCCAGAAGAGGCCCCAGACATCACACACACACTCTCTTCATATGGGAGGTTCCGAAAATTAGGGGTACCTTATAATAGGGATCCTACTATTCAGGGTACTATATTCGGGTCCCCTAATTTCGGAAACTCCCATATCGACGGTGCATAAGCAAGGTTTGTCCACCTTTGCAACCAATGGGACCACGAGGAAGATTTCAGGAGTGCCAGCATGAATTTGCCATGATCGCTCCGTTCGACAGATGTTGCCGTGAGATTCTGCGTGGCCCCTGTAGGTATCCTTTAGCATTTTTGGGCCTATATAATCCTACCACAATTCAACAGGTTAGCCTACTTTTATGCTAGAGTATTCAGCCCGCAAGAACATGTCCTAGAGTCTCCATTGTAGTTCCTTTTTGGGGTTACCTTATAGGATGCTTAATATATAATTGGTTAAACCAAAAAAAGGAACTACAATGGAGACTATAGGGTTGTCTCAACGTTTAAGGCTTTGGACGAGTCCCTGGCAGAGCTGCGCAAAGACCACTGGGTTTCTCAGGAGGAGCGTGCCACTCGGAGGCCTTTGGTTTTGTTCTTAGTTTTTTGAGCAGGTTACCTTTAACTTTTGGGGTCTATATAAATATAATCCAACCATAAACCCTAATGTAGGAACCTGATTAAGAAACCCTGGTCCTATAACCCTGGAACAGTAGGATTTATGTACGCAGCCCTAATAAATGCCCAAGGATGCCCAAGGTTTCTTAATCAGGTTCCTACATTAAACCCTAAGCTTCTAAACCAGGTCTAGGTACTCAGCCCCCTCAGTCTTTCGTTAGTTCTCATAATGAAATCTTAGTAGCCAAGTTTATAAACTTCAAACATTTTCGGATAATGAAACCCTCTTAAAACTGAAAGTTTAAACTTTTTTGTGCTTATAAACTCGGCAACTAAGACGTCCTAAACCCTAGCGCTGAGCCGTGACGCCCAAGCCCAGGCCGACCCGGTGGTGTTCCGATGGGAGCTGGATGAGACCAGGAGGGGGGTTCAGCAATTGAGATTGCCGGTTTGAAACGAACAGAAATTCTGCTTAAGGGTTTAGAGGCAAGGGTTCAGGGTTTAGGGTTGCAGCAAAAGGGTCCAAAGCTCCGAGTTCGGCAAGCTCCTCCGTGATTCAGTTACTTCAGAGGGTTAGGGTTACTGCCACGGGTGCAGCGGCTCTGACATCCGACATCCAGGCGGGCATCTGCAAGTCTGTGCAAAAAGGGTCCAGAGCTCGACAACCCCTGAGCAGCTTCAAGACTTTCACTTGCCGCACCCCCACCAGATAACCTAGTTTCAAGGTCTGGTTGTTGAAGTTTGTCAGTGCCCGATGCCTTCCGAGTCTCACGAGGTGGACTTCATGTTCTTCCCTATAGAAACATGAAGCCGTGCGTCAACAAGCTTAGGGCTTTAGCGCTTTGGTTTTATTATTCCAGGGGTGTGGATACAGGGGCCTAAATAAGCACCATTACTATTTCGAAGTTCCTTATTAGAACCAAAGTATGCATACTATACCCCCAAAGCCCTCTTGTAAGCATTAAGGCCCTTGTCCCCTGGCTTGGCTTGGACCCGAAACCTGGGGTCTTAAGACCCTATAAGCCTAGGATGCCCGGTAGTAAGTACCCTTAATTATTTCCTTTTTGTAGTCCTAGGCAATACCAGAAAGAAAGCCCTTTTCATTCCCCTAAACCCTACAAACCCTAAACCCTAAGCCTCAGAGCCAGGACGAAGATTGAGAAATGCCTGTGCGGCGATCTCTTCTTGCCGAGCCCAGAGAAGGACAACCGCCACCAACCGAAGCCTTACATAGGGCCGGAAGGGCTTATAGGGATGTTTAGGAAATTTCAGGTTTAGGGCTTGGGGGTGAGGAGGTGGAACTTAGGCTACCTCACGTGTCAGGCTTCCGGGTCTGCATGAATGAGCGTTGGGAGGTCATGATATTTTCAGAAGCTTTCGCTTGAATCGTGGTCACAACTCTGCGGAGTCCCCTTTGCTCCAAGGACCATTGAGGACTTAGGGAGTAGGGTGTACAGTAAGCTGTGCAGTGCTACAAGTTATCGGTTTCTGAAAGGTGGCTGCATCACCTGACCCTTCAAGTTGCTTCAAGGGTGTGGACACATAGAAACGCTAAAAGGCGGCCTTGCCAAACATCACAAAACCACACGTCGGTGCACCGACACCCTTCGCCTGAAAACAAAAAACCCTAAGGCCCAACACCTCAGACCGGAGTCCTAAAGGAACTCCAGAAAGTTGGAATATGGTTTCAGGGTAGGATACGCTACAATTTACCATAGAAGGGTTAGGTTAATCATATTCCAACTTTCTGGCTTTTACCTTAGACCAATGACTCTGGGTGTTGAGGGGCTGAGGGTTTTCGGGTGTAGGGTGTCGGGGTTAGGGTCGGGTTGGGGTTTCGAGGTGATTTGGGAGTTTCCGAAAACAAGGGGTACCCTATTTTGGGGGTCCCTATAATAAGGAGCCTACTATTTAGGGTGCTATATTAGTGTCCCCTATTTTCGGAAACTCCCATTTGGTGTTGGAGTACTGGCTTGCTTGACAGGGTTTGGGGGTTCAGGACCCCGCAACTTTTGACTGTTCTGCAGGTGCGCCACCTTTTGCTCAGTTCCACTGCCCAAGCTTCAAAAGGGCTTCAAACCCCACACCCAAAACCGCAAGCCATAAGACCTTATAATACCCCTTAAGGTAGGTTCCCTTCCTAGGTAGAATCCCTTTGAACCTATTTCCAGTGGAGGACAAGATTGGCTTTCTCGATCTGGCCCTGGAGAGGCCTGGGCTAAGTAGGGTTTATGGGACTTAGGGGGTTTAGGGTTTAGCGATTTACGGGGTTTAGGGGTTTCGGGTTAGGGAGTACGGGTTTAGGGTTTACGGGTTTGTGCAGATGATTGAAGGCCCTCAACTTGATTCAGGTTCGACACTGTGGCCCTGAAGCGCGATCGCACAGAGGGGCACGTGATCTCCGTGGACAAGGAGAGTCGCCTTTGTAAGGCCGGCTTCGCTTTCAAGGTTTAGGGTTCTGTAGTACCGGGATTCCTAGCTTTTGCTCTTTTAAATAATGGTCGTTCATGTTGAAGGTTTAGGGTTCTTTTGTATATAAATCTTCAGGGTTTAGGTCTTCGGGAATTCGGTTTTCAGGGTTTGCAGCTTAGGGTTCAGGGTTTGTAGTTGAGAGGCTGGTCCGGATTGTTCCGGAAGGCGTGCTTTCGATGTGGAGTGTCTCCATGGGTCTTCTTTGCATGTACATCAACGCCGGGTCATGACATAGCGTGGACTTCACTGAAAGAGGTCTCCTCGACTGTTAGCTTAAAGTGCCTACGGCGGGGTTATAGCACGAACCTTGCCGCACCTTGCCGCGCTGTGCTCAGTCAGTTGAGAGGGCTGCAACCCCTTCAACATCCCTCAGCCTCGAAACTGAACTCACACATTGCACGTGCTCCAGGAGGCAAATGTATACGCGCATTGAGCGACGCAGGATCTCGTGTCATTCTGACATGATGAGCATATATATATATATATATACATATGTGCACATACACGTGTGTGTGTGTGTGTGTGTGTGTGTGTGTGTGTGTGTGTGTGTGTGTGTGTGTGTGTGTGTGCGTGCGTGTGTCTGTGTGTGTGTGTCTGTGTGCGTGTGTGTTGTGTGTGTGTGTTGTGTGTGTGTGTGTGTGCTGTGTGTGTTGTGTGTGTGTGTGTGTGCTGTGTGTGTGTTGTGTGTGTGTTGTGTGTGTGTTGTGTGTGTGTGTGTGTGTGTGTGTGTCTGGGTGTGTGTGTGTGTGTGTGTGTGCGTGCGTGTGCTTGTGCACATATGCGAAAATACATATGTGCTCACATGTATGCATACATACACGCGCATACACATACACATACACATACACATACAAATACACATACATAGATACACATACATACATACATACATACACATACACATACACGTACAGATACACATATACATACGCGCACACACGCACATACACACATACATACATACATACATACATACATACATACATATCAGCATGCATATATGCACCAATATGCATACATGATGGTGGGTTGAAACATAATTAATTACTTTCGACCAGGTTACTGACGGACCTATGAAGCTTGATACGAGTTATAGAAGGTTTGCCAAACCTTGCAATGGTTGACGGTTGGGTCTGATTTCAGTTTCAGGGTTTAGCATTGCTCAGATTGTCAGATGCAGCTCTCAGGGCTTCCCAACCCCCGACGGTCCGAAACCAAGATCCACAAACCCGATTCGGAGATCCGATACAGCCGAAGCCCTGAACCCCCAAATTGCCAGCTAGCCTTACTCCTTGAACCTCGTCTACCCCTCAAAGTTCGTCGAAGGTCGTTTTTCCGGAGCGGGACGGCTCAGCGCGCATTGGTTCCTGGGCCAAAGCTAGTGTTGAAATAAATGTTGGGTTTCTTGGCTTGGAGCCATGCTTCAGAGATCTTACTCCTTCTGTGCTGTCCACAACGAACTGTAAGCCCTAACTTGTCCTGGCTGTCAACATTGTCAGACCATCACCAACTCAGCATGGTAAGGATTCCCCTTTGCCTTTCAGGTTAAACTGGTTCCACGGCCCCATGCAAGGTTCTTCTTCGCAAACCGGGAAGTGTCAACTTCAATACATACATGCAAGATACCCGGCAGTTCTGGGCTACTCTTTGACTATATAGGTGATGTTCGAAAGCTATGGCCTGAGGCTCTAAACGCGAGTTCTCAGCTTAAAGACGCTAATTTCGAAGTAGTTGTTTTGGTGTATCAGGGAATACTATGGCCATTTATTGAAACCCTATGTTACCTACGTTAAATCCAGGCCCTTGGCTTTAAGACACCCGCTTGTCAAACTCCCACATAAATGGAACTCCTTGGGGGTAGTTCTCTTGTTTTGGATCCCTTCTTCAGGTCCTACATACGAAGTGGGGCCTTCTTGTTTGGGAGACGAAAAGAGGCGCATATTTAGAGCCTTCAAAACCCTAAACCCTATACCCTTCAAAAGCCCTGAGCCCAAAAGACCTGAGCCCCGAGGCTTCCAGACCCTCTCGAGCTTGATGCCCACCGGCTGCAGCTGAGAATGTCTTCTTAGGCTTGGCCTAGGACATATATCTGTATGTATGTATACACACCTCCACAAGCACATCCATGTGTGCCCATAACTACGATCCACCTACACCTTTTGGGGTTTATGAAACCAACTGTGTTCGTTCATTCATGCACTTACTGCTCCATTATGGGTTCTGTACACAATTCGTCCATTCCTTCTATTTACTTACGCCTGTCAGGATGCCACCGTCGCGACACGCGCAGCTATTCACGCAACGAACTAGAAGATGCAGAGATGTGGGTGTAGCCGGTACCCGCAGCATGTGATTGTGTGTGTATGCACATGTATTGTATGTACATGTATATATGACCTGTTTATAGCTCTGGCAAGCAAGAGCAGACACAAACACTGATGCACACATGGGTAGATGGGTTCTGCATTCGTATGTATACATGAAGGCATGTGTGTATGTATGTAGGTATGTCAGGTATGTATGTATGTATGTAGGCAGGTGGGAACATGTGGGTATATGTATAACATGCTTTCATTCATGTAGATAAACCGGTACATATGCAGATGTGAATCTCATGATCTCAAATGATGAAGGTAAACTCGTTCCCAGTGTATGTATAGAGGGGAGAGTGAAACCAGCAACTCATAACCACGCCCGTGAGCATCCACTTTGCCATACTCGCTCGTTTGATCATGTGCGTCTGCATTGCCAACAGGTATCATTGAAACTCGTCGTTTGGATCTATGTGCATGCTCGCGCAAGCCAATGCTAACCATCATACCCGACGCGAATAATAGCATATGTTATATCCCAGTTTGGCTAATTACCAACAGTAACCCTAAGCCCTAAACGGCCCTTAACCCCAAACGGCCCTAAAGCCTAAACGGCCCTAAACCCTAAACGACCCTAGAGCCTAAACGGCCCTCAAGCCTAAATGCCCCTAACGCCTAGACAGGGTTCGCGCCCCCTTGCTGCATCTGCATGAATCAACCTAAGCCACCCGGAGCTGCACTGCACGGCAGGATATAGTTCCAATGTCGAAGCCCTTACATCTAAAATGCCGGCTCAATCCGTCAATCCAGGTTCCCTTTTCCTCACAAAGCCTTTGCCGCCTCAGCCCTAAAGCATTAATAAAGCCATTCGCAGCTTCAGAACCCCCTCAGGGTACTAGTGGCATTGTGACTGCTGGTACTAGTAACAGTAACAATAGCCGATTTTAGTAAAACTCATAACTCTGGTAATGATTAGACTAGTAAGCCTTTTTAAGCCTTTTTTGCCTAAGGTTTCAGCGACGGAAAACCCCCGACGCTTTGCGACAGCTGCGAGCGCCAGACTTCTTCCCGCCTGAGGAGCACTTCTGTCCTAAGGGGTCTTCAGGGTTCAGGTATAGGGCTCAGTTAAGGGATGTATAAGTGTTGCTTTACAGGGATCTAGAAGAGCTCTTTGAGGGATAAGTGGTCTTCAGTGTTTAGGTGATGCAAAAAGGTATAGAAGCTGCAAGAATCACTAATGATGTTCCTTAGAGCTCCATGGTAAAGTTGTAGTGCACTACCGCCAACAAGCTACTCTACTTGTCAAGGCTGATAGCTTTGCAGGATCGAGGGACGTAGTGGGTAGGCTGTATAAGTACACAACCCAGATCAGGGTACTCACTTATGGGGTCGGAATAATTGGTACTGGCAAGTTCCTGATACGCCTGCTTGGGGGCCTGTGCCATGTCCTTTCAAGCAGCGCTGAACGGGTTCAGGAAGATTCAGGAAGTACGGGGTTTGAGATTGCAGGGTTTAGGCTTCAGCTGACGTTTGCAGAGCATACCTGGTGCTTTAAGTGGGGTTGGCAGCCCCTGATTTGTATCGCCGCAGAGCTCTTTGTGGCTTAGAGGTGAACGGTTAACGTGCCTCAGTAATTCATGACACGACACCTTCTCAGGTCCTCCTTACATACTGACGTGATACACAAACCCACAAGTTTTGCCCCCCATTGCAAACCCTAAACCCTAAACTTCCGCATTCAGGAGGGAGACCTGCACAAGGTGTCCACTGCAAAGCCTGACTCCAAACACCGGGGCAATCTCGAGAAGGCTGGACTTAAAACCCCATTCTTTTTAATATGAATGCCATCACCACTAGTAATCAACAAAATCGTACCAATTTTCACAAGGAGCATAGTCATAGCAATAGTAATAGTGATGAAGATAGGAGGATCACTGATAGTACCAGAAGCCATGATCAAAGCAATAGCTAGTAGTAAGGCAATAGCAGTTATGCCACTACTAGCAACAAGCTCGCGCCGGAAGATTCAAACTCCTCCTGTAGTATCTATCAAGTGTTATTTTGGCGGAGCATGCGGCCCGGAATTCGCCCGAAGAAGAGTGTAAAAGGACCACGACTAGAGTACGGAACAGTAGAGGATTGGGGTCCCTGCAACGTATTGCTGCAGCGTCTGCGGCCTGCCTCAAAGGGTTTAGCCAAACAACGGAACAATTCAAGGCCAAGGCGAAAGCCACTAACAGCATTGACCATTTTGCGCGCAAATACAATTTAGTGTTTGGGGGAGTTTCATAAGAGGAGGAGGAGATCAATTACACTAGCTGTACTCAGGATACACATCAGTAAGAATAGCAATAGGTTTCGCTCTCGCTCTTATGGTCTTGCTTAGTTTATATTTATAAGAGTTATAGGGTTCAAAATCCTGCTTTTGGCTGTAGACAGGTTGGAAAGTGGCATGTAGTGTGTAACTTGAGGTGTTGGAGTCTAGATCAAAGTTTTCGCGCGGAAGGTGGGATCGATTCAGGGCTTCAGGTTTTGAAAAGAGGGTTTTAGTCTTAGTTCCGTATGGGCGTTGGCCTTAAACAGAGCTTCCGGGATTAAACATGACTGAGCATTCCAAAAAGATCTAGGATTTGTCGGACTTCCAGATAGTCGGGAAAGTGGTAGAAGTCAACGTCATGCATCCTCAGGGTCCATCCAGTAGAATTTCATAGAAAACATCACTACGACTTTAATCCCTGCACAGCATCACCAGCGCAGCATAAGAAGGCGGAGAGGGGTGAACGAGGAAGCGGGGAAGAAAAGAGCAAGGTAAGGTGGGAAGGAGGACGGACGGAAGGGCAAAAGGGAGGAGGAAATTGAAGGAAAGGCAAGAAAGGATGCAAAGACATGAAAGAGAGGAAAAGGCATGAGGAAACATGAGGAAATCCAAGGAAGAAGGAGGAGAAGGAAGCAGGAAAGAACGCAAAGAAGACACGAACAACATAAGACAGACAACAAGGCAAATAACACGTAAATGCACACAGAGTCACAAGTAAATACTAGTATTTATTTAAACAAAAACATAAATACATCAGTATGTGTGTATATACATGTATGTATATATATATATATATATCTACATGTCTGAGTGCGTGCGCATGCGCACCTTTAAATACACATACATATAGAATAGCAAAGCACACACGAATTACATGGGCACAGAAAGGCCGGCCGATGCGTAAACGAGAAGCAAGAAATACAGAGCGCGTACGTGGGGCTGAATACAAAACAGGGCTTGTCGATGGCAAGATAACGGAAACGTTTGCATTACAGCCGCTGCACGGTCGTTTGGCATTAGGCACTGGATGAATGAATACATCAACCAAACTGCCCTGAGCTCCCACCAGATCATGATGTGTCCGTTGATGAGACAGGACTCCTCAACATGCGATCCTCGGATTGCTGCTTGTGCACTCGACAGCCAACTGCTGAAACTTCCTTGAAAGGTCATCCCGGTCAAGACTGTGTGGGAAGATGATGACACCGGTATCTTCTCAAGCAGTCTCGGATTCCGGTGCGTTCGGGTTCAGGGTCGAAGGGTCCAAGATCAAACCTTTCGCACCTGATGGGCACGTGGCAAGCTTTGAACTCAGACAAGGCAGCAGTTGGTGTCACGGCTGAAAAGATGTTACGTCTATGGATGACTCCCGATCTTTTGTTGGCTATTCCAGAAATGATGGGGACTAGACGTGACAAAGGCAAGCCCCGATTGCCCGTGTCGAAGCGGAGCCGTGCGCGTCCATTGATATAAGAGGCCTCCATGCATGCGGCACGGTGTGGGCGGGAGCGAAATTCCAAAAAATACTTAAATTTCAGCTGCCACTCGAGGATCCCTAAACTCTAAACTCTACTATTTGTCTCTCGTAATCGTTCAGTCAGCGGCCAAAGGTTTGAAGCGACGTCCGTAGGCCTTGGAAAGCATAGCATCGGCAGGGATCCGCAGGGCATGGCATGGTGTGTAGGGCAGTCAGGGTTTAGGGTTTAGGGTTTCAGGAGTTCTTGGCGTTCACACCCAGGTCTGAAAGCATCCTAAACTTCAGACCAAATGTTCGCAGCACGTCTTAGCGGCCCGATAGCTTGCACCCTGAAGCCCTCAACCCCCAACTCTATCAAAGCCTGTCTGAAGTCTTGGAAGGTCCGCCAGAGAGTTGGACCGCCATGCAGACTCAGTAAACAAGCTTGAAACAAGGCCTCAACACCCATCGGATGCCCATCAAAATTGTCAGAAACACCCTACGTAGCTGCTCCATTCTCTACCTTTTCACTCCAAGCCCTAAACCTCCAGGTAATTTTTGCTGGACATACGGGAGCGAGGAGCTGGATCTGCGCGCCGCCTCAACGACCTGCACTGCTTCTGGCAAGGTGGAATCCAAGAGTAGAGGGGTGTACTTGGAAGTGCAGGGGACTTAGTAAGTAGCTTATAAGTAGGGTTATAATTGGGGTATCTCCATTTAGGGTACTTATAACTCTACTTATGACCTACTTACTAAGCCCCCTGCCCTGCCAAGTAGGGACCCTAATGTAGGAACCTGATTAAGAAACCCGGGCCTGTAACCCCAAAATAGTAGGATTCATATAAGGAACCTTAATAAAGGCCCAAGGTTTCTTAATCAGGTTCCTACATTATAATAGTACCCTCGTAGATCCCTTATAGTAACCCTTATAGACCCCTTCAGAGGAGCCCGAATAAAGGCCCAGGGTTTCTTAATCAGGTTCTACATTAGGGTGTATAGGAGCCTCAAGGCGACCATTGCTGGAGCTCGTTCTAGTAAGGGTCTTAATTCGGATGTGGATTCCTACCTTCGGTTCCCTGACTTTTCGAATTCTTTCTGCTCCACCGATTGAGCTGAGCTTTTCTTGATAGTCGCAAACAGGTAGGTGAAGGTGAGCTGCTTGACTTGACTTGGCCTCAGTTCGCGTGCTCAATTCTCGCGCTTCTTCTCGCTTCCGGTCTACGCTGTGTAGTGTGCCGGTAGTGCGAACAGCATTGTGGAGGCGGGTGAGAAACTCTTTCTTGCGGCTGACACCCAGGCCCGAAGCCTCGAACCCCAATGTTTTTACACCAAAATCTCGCCTGACCTGGTCGAGAGCGGCTTCCGAACATCTTGTTAAATTAAGGCTTACAAACCGAAAACAGCTCCAGCTAGAAATCCCAAGCCTTGATGTCGTGGTCCCCATTCGAAGGTCGCAATTCCGTTTCGGTTCATACCTTCGCCAGACATTAAAAAGATGGTGGAGAACTCGGAGGAGGCGCGCTGTAGGTCCAGAGTGGCGTTAGGATTTAGGATTGGGGGTGGGGGGTTGGATTCTGATAACAGTTCGGGTCTTGGTGACTTCAGGCCAGGCATTTCGGGGCTCGGGGTTCAGGATCTCAAGTGTTCACTGCCCTCGGTACGGTGGTGAAGCTCCTCTTCGTGTTTCTCCAAGTTTCCCCATTCCCGCGCGAGCACGCCGCCAATTTGTAGACTCTCGGAAGGGAAGCGCTCAACCCAAAACATCCTTGAACTGCTAGCCATAAATGCTTCGTTTCGCAACTACACACGCCACGAAAACGCAGAGAATTGCAAGAGCTCACGCAGCCGCATAGGTGCATGACCAGCTCCATAGTAGTTACATTGTCGCCTCGCCGAGGATACGGACATAAGTACTGTACAGGATCCGATAGCCCAACTTACTAAGCCCCATCATCCCGGTATGGGATATGTTCGACACCTTGCCAGACTTCTTTAAGGCCGTAGTGAGCTAACACACCAGCTGCAGGAGTTCAAGAAAATCAGGGACCGAAAGACGCCACAAGGACTGGATTACGGACATCCTTTAAGCTGGACAGCGAATTATGCCCGAAGTCTTTAACCCTCCATCCCTCAATCGACCATTCCGGGTTTGTCTTCGCAGATGTACTCGTAGCACCAAAAGGGTTGAGATCGCTTTTTGGGTGGTACTTCAGGATTTGGGCCGGGTCAGATCACTTGGCGGTTCATGGGTAGTTATACATGGGGTTATAAGTCCCCTAATAGGGATTATGATTATAGTCACCCTACTTGTAACCCACCTTGGGACTGCATGATAACCCCGTGCTGTTAAGTTTAGTCTTGACATGTCCGTGTTCGGTTTGGAAGGTTTTCCGTGGAAAAACGATAAGAAGACAGTTAAACGACAACAACATTCAGGGATAAGGATTTTTATACGGGGGTTATTACACAACCCCACTTATAACTACCCATGAACCCCCAAGCACAGGTAGTAACCCGGTAGTGGGTTCTAAGGTCTTTGGCGGCGGTTTTGTGAGATGATGCGGGCTGTTGGTTCGGATAGGAGGCAGCCCTGCAACTTCTCGAAACTACATGCAACAAGCCCGAAACCGACAACATTAAGGGGCAGACGTGCTTGAAGCTCGTGGAGGTAAGACGGAGGTTGGACTTCTACACATTACTTGATTCTAGCAACTTAAGCATACACAAGCCCAAGCTGCGGCTCCAAGAGCCAAAAGCGAACACCCGGATGCCCTGATTAGCAGGGGGCTCTGAAGCGCGGACCTAAACCGTAATCCTGTCCTGGCTCAGACAAGCATGAGACCGGCGTTGAACGACAGACATCGGGACTCCAATCTAGGTAGGGCTTTGGGACATTTTTTATGTTCCCTTATTGGGAATAAGAGGATCCTGTTTACTAGTATTTTTCAAAGGCTTTACAAGCCCCACCTAGTAATGCCAACATGTAAGCTTGTAAAGGATACGTGGGCAATTCGATGCTGACGCAGATGGTGCAGCTGCAATTTCCGACCACCAAACCATGGAGGATCCAGCTACACCCAAACCTCAGCCAAGCTCCAAAACCAATGACGGCAAAAGAGTTGTTCGTCTCATCTTCAATGACATTTCCATTTCTAGTTGCTGTTAAAATTTGAACGGTTATGCTTCTCAGGGACTACCTTGACTGAGACCCAAAAAAACTAAAGCCCTGAAGCCGTAGGCACCGACACTCGCCTAGAATTCAGAGACCCAAAACCTGCAGCCTCAAAAACCATAAACCCTAAATAGCTCTTTCCAGGATGGTGTTACCAAGCCAACTTTTGGCGTTTGTTGCAGTCATCGGGGCAGTGCCAGCTGGAGGCAAGTGCTACAGAAAACAAGGGTTTCTCTCGATTGGCTCGATTAGGGAGTCCCGTACGAGGTTTACATACGCAGAGAAAGTCTGTACAATCGGGATCCTGGGATGCAGTCCTTTTGTCACGGTTATGACTACTATTTCCGGACTCCAACTGCCATAACGCAAGCCACATTGTTTTGAGCACTGATAGAACGATTGCCACGTGAGGCTGTCTGGTGCTTAGTGGGGAATCGGGGGTAGGATCCCCATAGCAGTCCCTATATAATAATCTCCTTTTTGTCTCCATAATCCATTCCCCCGTCCCCTGCTAAGAACCAGACAGGAGGCGTTGTGTTGTGTTGTGTTTTTCTCGGCGGCCCTCAGACAGGAGCTTCAGGAGTAGTGCAGCTACAGGTAATCAGAAGCTTGCACCCCGAAAGTCCCTGAATCCAAAAAGCCTACTGCGACTTCTTTGAGCGATCTCGGGGTGCAGTCAAGAGTATGACTAGTGACTAGTATTCTGATGACTACTGAATTGCGACTTATTGTCATGATTGCTTGCTTCGGTTTGGGGCTGGTCTCTGAGTTTCACCTAGATTGGGTTTGGAGGACTCAGCATCCACATGAGATCCAGAGCGGCGTCGATTCAACCCTGAACCTTGGATACTGCCCCCACTCAGTAACAGTTGATTCGTGTTTAAAAAATGTATTATACACATGTGTATATATATATATATATGACCACTATTGTTTTTATTATTAGTATTATAATATATATATATATGACAAATATATATATATATATATATATATACATATATTTGTTTCTATATATTTCAAAAACATATACATTGATAAGTAAAAGGCCCTTACTTACTTTACAGTAGCCCGATTATAGACCGTTACTGTATGGGGGGGCGGTACCCAGCCTAAACCCTAAATCCGGTGTGTTGCATCTGCGGTCTTGCGAAACCTCCGCCTAAATGCAGGGCATGATAGAGAGGCCTGAAAAATCACCAGTAGCATCCTTTGCAGTCTCTACTTCAGGGCCGTGAAACCCTGCAGGATATTATAGAATCCGACGGATCCGCGAAAGAAGCCTGAGAGGAAGCCTATTTAGAACCTGGCCCTATATAAGTTAGGGTACCCTGAGAAACAGATCCATTATAGTAGCCCTTAAAGGAACCCTGTAGAGGAACCCTTAAAGGAACCCTGTAGAGGAACCCTAAAGGAACCCTGTAGAGGAACCTTAAAGGAACCCTGTAGAGGACCCTTAAAGGAACCCTGTAGAGGAACCTTAAAGGAACCCTGTAGAGGAACCTTAAAGGAACCCTGTAGAGGAACCTTATAATTATTCAGGACCCTTCATAATTTAGGGCCTGCCAGGTGGCAGCAACCATGGCTAACGTGGCCGAGCTTACCGAGCTCGCCTCAGGGAAGAGGCACAGGGCTTAGGTTAGGATTTAGGGTTTAGGGCTCAAAACAGTCCAAAAATGCAGACTGGCCGAGTAATTCGGGTACCGTCCTTTGCGTTCCTTCTTGGAACTATCGCAAAATGCACTCCAAAACCTGGTTGGGGTGTAGCTGGTACTCTGGTTGCCTGGGGGCTATAAATCCTGTACCCTAAACCCTGAACCAAAAACCCCAACCCTAAACCCTACGCCTATATCCTGAACCCGAACCATCTCGCAGAAGCGCTGGGTTTCGTCAGCATGTTGTTGCTCTTTGTACTCTTCTGACCCTCCCAAAAACCCCAAAACCCTGGCGAAAGTAATGGAAGTGTAATCGAAGCTTTCCTGAAACCATACCTGTATTACCCAGAGAGCCCTGTACCCCTTAATTGAGGAATTTGTGAATTAAGGGGTATTGGGCTTTCTGGGTAATTAATGAATTAAGGGGTATTGGGCTTTCTGGGTAATTAATCAAGCTGTAATCGATCTACTAAGGCTTTAACGCTAAACCCTCTAAGTGCCTTCAACTTCAAGCGTCATCCTAAGCCAACCGCGGGGACTCGGTATCAAAAGCCTTATGTACGGGCTCAGGGTTTAGGGGTTTAGGATTTAGGGTTTAGGGTTGAGGGTCGAATAAATAGTGGCAGTGACAGTCTCCCCTTTTTGTCCATACTCGAATTCTAGCACAACACACCCCAAACCCTATTCTAGTTATTCGGCCCCAACATTAGCTCGCAAGCTTCATCCCCATGTTGAGGTGTAACCTGAGGGGATATTCTAGCAAGAGTACCAAGCATTCTCCCACCTGCCCCCACGACACCAAATTGGTGCCAGGCGCCAGGGTCTGACGAAGCGGGGTGCCGTCTGCGCCGACCCGATCCGGGCACGCCCGGGCGGCTATGGGTTTTGTGATCCCTATGACCCGCGCTGGGCGACTCTATCGTTTTTCTACACAGAGGCCCCAAAGTAGTTCCCTTTTGTTACCATATAGGATTCTATACATGAACCTCAAAAAGGAACTACTTTGGGGCCTTTGGGTAAACCGTAGTCTCCGTGCGAGTCGAAACCTGAATCTCAAAGCCCAAAGCTCTAAACGCAAAGCCCCAAACCCTTCTGCGGTTTGGGATATTGTGAGAACTACTGTCGGGACTGTGAGGGAAAACTGACACGAGAATTTCAAACCGCTTTACTATTTGTGCGTCTTTGCACATTTGAAAGCCCTAAAGGCCCATCAAGTGGTTTAGGGTTGTAGGGTTTAGGGGTTTAGGGTTTAGGGTTATGGCTGCCGGCATACACTCGAAGTCCGTGCCTCAAAAGGGGTATAGGGTTTAGGGTTAAAGCTTGGAAATCCTCTGGAGGTGCATACACTTGATCGAATTACGCAAAATACCCTAGCTTAGACTCAGGGCCCCTCTGTACAGGCATTCCGCTCTTAGGGGGTATCGGGCTCTCTAGGAAATCGCATTCAGCAACGTATCCGTACAGGGTGCAGGGCATGCCCCTGAGGGTAGTTCTCGAAAACAGGATTCTTTGTAAGTTCCCTTGTGAGTCAGAGTGGCGTGCTCGGTTTGTTGGGTTGAAAGTTTGCGAAGGCCCGAAACCCTGGACAGTATAAACCCATCCTAACCTAGGACTTTCCCACTCGTAACAGCAGTGAGACAAAGGCGCATTCAACAAAAAAGCCTTAACGCGGCTGGATACTTGGAGGCGCATAGGGGACTTATACGTACTTGTAACTACCCTAATTACTCTAAAACCCTATACCCTTATGGAATCCCTATAGATCCCTTCAAAGGGGCCCTTTATCTACCCATGAACCTCCAAGTACCCATCCAACTGCCGCCAGGTTCGGAAGAGACGACCTCGCGTGGATGTCAAATGCACCGGCCAGGCGATCTTTGAGCGCTTAGGATTAAGATAGAAGACACATAAACATATACACATATGTCGTATGTAATTAATATCATATGTATATATATATATATGCGGTTTAGGGGTTTCGGGCCTACGGGGTTCAGGGGATTGCAAAGTCGAGCATTCGTCCATGGAGTCCAGTTAGGTTACCCGGGTGTTTCCGAAAATAGGGGTACCCAAAACCTTCATTCTGGGATCTTAGCCATAAAAGTGGTTGACCAATATTTGAACTACAATGGAGACTCTAGGTAGTATCCGTTGTGGTCCATTTTTGGGGAATCCTTTTAGGATCCTAAATATGGAATCGGTTAGACCAAGAAGAGGAACTACAACGGAGATTATAGGTCGAGTGTATGAAGTCATTGTCGAGCAAGGGGTCCTTGGACAGGAAATCTATCATCCCCCAAGAGCTTCGTGCAAACTGAATGGGCATCCTCCGTGAAAGAATCTGCGAAATGGAGCGAAAGATTGAGGCTCAGGGTCTAGAGTTGAACTTGGGTTTAGAAGAAACAGGTCTAATGCCGAAGCCTCAGTGAACCTGAAGCCTTGAAACTCGGTCTGAAGCCAAATCCCGAAACTGCAAATCCTAAACCCACGTCTAGTCTAGCCAAGCTGGAGGCAAACATAAACCCACATACATCTTTGCGCCCTAAACCCTAAAACCCACGTCTTTCCAGGCCTTCCTCTGCAAGCCTGGATCACGCCTCGGCTTGCTTGCAACGACCGTGGGGGGGAAGGGAGATGTGGTGTAGCAACATCTGACTGTTAAGATGGACGCCTTCCCTCAAGTCCCAAGCCCTACACTGCGGGATTCAGAACCGCATCTTAAGCAAGTATACAATTGGGGGATTCGGACGACGAACTCGACATCGAGATTTCTTCGCGTTTCAGAAGCGGACTGTATCTGCACGGGCCACGGTGCTAGTATTCGACGTTTCCAACTCAGATGCTCCCTTCCCGCTCTGCACAGAGGAAGCATGTGTCGTCAAGTTTTCGATTCCGTGATCTGAAAGTTTGCTTCGCTGTTGCGAGTTTCTTTGGTCCATGTTGTCCAGCAGTCCTGAAACCCGAGTCAGCACATCCAAACATCTTGAAGCCGGGATCCCCGTCTGAGGGATTCTTGGCTTCGGACTTTGTAATGTTGTAGGATTCCGATTTTAAGGGGTTTGAGGTTTAGTGTTGTGGTTTACATGGTTTAGGCTTTGTGTGTGCAGGAATGCTTTGGGTTCGGATCGAGGGGCCTGACTCCTTCGATTCTCAAACCCCGCCCTTGTCCCTACGTTTCCGCAGGAATGACTTTTCACTGCCCTACATCTCCAGGCCTGTGCTGCCTCAGGTCCAGACCTGTGTAGTCTTCGGCAGTCGAAATATACCTGTCTGACTATTCAGTTAGTAGTGTCCCCTTGTGGTCCCTATAGAATGATATTGGCACATCCCAAAATCCTATTCTGATTCTAGTTCAAGTCTTGTTGGCCGTCGTACATCTCCAGGGGCTGCATTTTGAAGAAAACTACCGGAGGGCCCAAGGCGGTTCCGGCCATTGAAGCAGCTAAAGGAAGTGGCTGGGCTTAGGACTTGGCTCGCGGTTCTGGATTTAGACTTACAGCTCGGGAGTTTAAGCTCGACGTATGACTTCAGAAATTATTGGTGCCAGTAGCACTACAGGGTTATTTTTCGAGACAAAACAGACGACAGTTTGGGTGTCGCAGTCAGAGTTCCGGGGTCAAGGGTTGAACCGCTTACTTGGTGACTGTGGGGTTTGGAGGATCACCATAAACTCTACACTCCTAAGCCCTGTGTAGACCCTAATCCCTACGAGACACCTCAACGGTGGAGATGCTCTTTCCTTGCCAGAAAGTGGAATAATATATAGGGGGCGCAATAACTACCTATACTACTTCGGGGGTTCCATATTATAAATATAGTATATTGGGCCCCATAATTATTAAGGCCCCTATACTACGGGTCTCCCCACGATGCACTCAAGGACAGTCGCCTCATCTAGGGCATGTGCTTGGAACCGATTGAAACTGAATGCCTGATTCAGGGGCCTTAAGGATTAGACTGGGGTGTTGCGGCCCGCTAGACTTTTATTAGAATCAGGAACCACCAAAATAGTATAGGTAATTATATTAAGTCTCCTTTTTGCTCCCCACTCCAGGTGTGTTGCGGCCGAAGAGATGATGGAGTCTGGACTTGTGAAGGCACGCTGATGCCCTGCTGCCGACTTTGTGTACTTGCGCACTACCTATAGTCTCCATTGTGGTTCTTTTTTGGGGTTACCTTATGGGATCCTTAGTATATAATTGGTTAAACAAAAAAGGAACTACAATGGAGACTATAGGTACGCTAGAGTTTTGGGTTTTGGCGGTCCCAGCATCGGTCCAGAAAGTGTTGCAAGCCCGGAACTTACCTTTGGTTAGTAGGGAATGGAAGACTGGTAGTAATAGTAGTTATAATTGTACCCCATTCCTCCATTCCCTACTAACCAAAGGTAAGGTAATTTGTCACACATGCAAGCTGATGAAAGCACGGGGCTCATATGCTGTTTTTTCACGATCTCCGGCGGTGTTGGTTTTCACGCCTTGCAGCAGGCTGTGTGTCCGGATATCTGTAGCTGTGCTTTTGGTGCTTTGCATGTATGACATGGCCGACGGAGTCGAAAAATGTTTGTGTAGGGCTCGTTTACGGTTTAGGGTTTAGGGGCAATCATAGGTCCTGGCGTGACGTTGCAAGCCAGTTGCAAAAGGGGCAATGATTAGTTATGTTATTGCTTGGTTGGGGATGCCCGGAGTTATAGGCGTTACAGTATAGGTATCCGATGAGATGCGTAAAGCCCTTCGATCTCGGTTTACCCAGGCAGTGCGCTATCTAATACGCTAGGCACATCCGCAGCTAAGTCCTAGGCCCCTGACTTAAAACCCTAGGCCATCAAGCTTTAACCCTGCACTCTCAAGCCCTACACCGGTCCGATTCCGAAGTTCAGAGTCCACAGTAGGGATTCCTCAACCTAAACCCTGCGTGGAGAATAGTGGAAGTCTAAACCCCACCTCTTGAAACCTGAAACGCTGTTCAGGGTTCAGGGTTTAGGGTATGCGAGTTTCGTGGGCGCTTACCGGCACCTCAGTCCGTGCTTGCCTTGAAACAGAACAGGTCAATGTGGACAACTCCGAGGAGCAGCTGGACATCGACCCGCGCCCCTCGCAGGACGGAGTGCAGCTTCCGTACGCGGGTTGAGGGCTTAGGGTTAGAGTTAGGGTTTAGGGTTTAGGGTTTAGGGTTAGGGTAGCTACGCCTTCGCAGATGAGTGGATGCACTTTACACTTCTTGGGGTAATCTTACCCACTATAAAAACTGAAAGAGTGCACTTTTGGGGGCTTATGAACTCAGCAACTATGAAACAGTACTTAACTCTAAACAACGCAAGCTTGGTTGGAAGCCAATGCCCGAAGAGTTTACGACAGGACCGTTTGTCGTACCAGCCAATAGGTGTAGGCCACTCACAAACCTCAGACCTTGCTAGTTGTTGATCGTCAGGCCGTTCAACTCAGCAACGTTTGCTACGAAGGCAGGGTGGCATGTCCATGTCTTGTGGGTTTAAGTTCCGTGCTCTTCGCAATAGGCTAAGCCGTACACCAACCCTTGAAAGCACTTTAGAGGCGTACTGCTTATTGTTATTGCTTTGGGAGGTTTGGCTTTCGAAGTTTGGCAGATTTGTGTTAGGCCTTCCAGCGTAGTTTGGGTTGCCATGCCCACCAGCCCCGGATCTTGACAGCTGCACTCGCAGCCTACCTGAAGAAGCACTTCTCCAGTATAGAGCGCTAGACAACTGGCAGGAATATGCGCTTATGGTTCCTGGATTCGACATAGAGTACACTAGAACATGCGCAAAGCCTACATTTCGGTATCTGTAGTGGGTAGTCCATGTTCGAAGACGAGTGTTGAGCGTATCAGGACAGTTGACACGATGCCAGCGTCCATAGTCAAAGATTGACACTGGAGGTGCCTTGTTCGCTTAGGAGCTGAATTCTGACTTGTTGAAATGATGTCATACATGACCCCTTGTAATTATAGTTGGGGGTGTATCATGATTTCAGACAACTTCAACGGGATTAAACGGCTTCGACACACAGGCGCCAAACAAGGAGCGGCAGAATGAACCCCGGGCCGTAAACTCTGCAAACAGCGCACTCAGAAATTCTACAAACGTGCACGAAGACCGAAACTGCCCTGTGCCTCGCACGTGTAAAACTACAAAACATATCAGGGGCACAATGTCCAATAAAATAGAAGCCTTGAGACTTGCACAAAGGCCTAGTCACGGCCCCGGCCGGTCATACAAAGTTCGAGCACCCAAACGAGCAAACAAACTTGCCGCCTACCCGAAGCTGTAGCAGGTGGGAGGAAGTTGAAGCTCGACAGCACTAGGAGGGGAGAGAAGTTTCATGCAGCCAAGCCGGCTGAGGATTGCATTAGCATATGGGAGATTCCGAAAATAGGGGGCCCTAATATAGTACCCTAAATAGGATCCTTATTATAAGGACCCCCAAATAAGGTACCCCTTATCTCGGAAACTCCCATATTTCAAAGAGTCATTGTCTAGAGCTGCTGAGTTGAGGCTGGAAGAGGTCAGACCCTGTAAAGCATACCTTTTGTCGGGCTCCTTTGTATGATGTCCTTACACAAACCTTCAATGAAATATTAGGGTATTTCGGGTTAAGGTGAGCCCTGAACCGCAAACCCTCTGCCGGTATATAGAACCCTCAAGAAGAGCCTGCATAACGAACCTTTATAGGAACTCACCGCGAACCCTGAAACCTAAACCCTACTTTGAAACCTAAGACTCTAGACCCTAAGCCCTCGGACTGTCCGAGTGTGAGCGCCGAGACCCTGCGAGAGCCTACATCCCATAACCCCTAAACCCCAAACTGTAAACCCTAAGCCCCAAATCCCAAACCCCACAACCCCAAAAACCTAAGCCTAAGTCGCAGCTGAGGACTGTGCTCCTGGAGAGCGGGCGACTGATTGATGCCACGGCCGCTTGGAAATTGGGGAGTCGGTTTAGGACATGAATACCAGTACGAGTTTGTTTAGTAACAGAGCAACGACGGTTATTGTAAGGCTTGCATGCTTTAACAGGATGAAGCGTAGACAGACCACCTTTCAAACCACTTATAAACCCCCCGGTTCGACATGACCCAGCTGCGGTGCGGAGATGGACCTTCTAGGCCTTCATCCACGCAAAACTCACCCCACACCCCAAACCCAAGGAATGAAAGCCTCAACCAGAACTCCAAGCCCTAACCCAAACCTCCGTCCCTAACAACCCCCAGCGACAAAACCCTAAACCATGTACCCCAAACTTCACAAACCTATGTGCCCTAAGCAAACCCCGAACCCCCGAGGTGCAAAGCAGGGAGGCCCGGCATCGCCACGTCATCGCTTACACCGATGCGAATGGAGGCGAGCCCAGCTCTCGTAGCGCTAGAAAGCCTAGATGTTCATGATGTGTGTTTGTGTTGTTTGAAGGTTCTGCCCTGTTTTATGTAGAGTGTTATGAGGTTTGTGAGTGTGTGTGTGTGTGTGTGTGTGTTGAATACAACTTGCTTTATACGGGTTTACAGTAATCTACTTCGAATCGACCTCGCACCGGTAAACTCAATGACGGACTTTTGGTTGTGGTGTTTCGAGGTTCAGGATTTAGTGCTTTGGAGAGACAAGCTTTGGCAGGGATTAAGAATGGGATATATCGCAAGCCACATCAGTAGAAAGCCTCGTAGGGTTTTAGAATGATGTCTATCTTTAGGGATTAATTTCAAAGCAGAACAGATGCCCCTACAGTCTCGTTGGCATAGCCCATGCAAGCAGCCCTAAGTGTGGGAAGGGGGGGGGGCTGGTCTCGGTGAGATGTAATACAGAGGTTTGAGCATCTTCAAAAAATGAGCAACAAGATTTCTCGAGGTTCCTTATTCTGATCATGCTCGATATACATAAATATATATATATATGTATGTATAAATGTATACATAGCTGTTTATCACATGTCGCGAAACCAACCCCGTAACCCCACCAATTTTTCGGACTTGAGGAAAGGAGTCTGCAGTTTGTTTTATGGCTTGCTTTAAAAACTGCGATATTAGTCAATAGAATCATTTCCGGGTTTTCGGGCTTCACAAAATCTTGGGTTTGAGGAAAGGGACAGGCCAGCGAGCTACCCTAAATCCGAGTCTGGCTGTGTTCATGTGAGACAAATCTGTCTTGCTAGCTTCCCCGAAACGACGGAGTAAGCACTCAGTACGAGGCTCACCACAGCTGGAATATAGGCACCGTTTCATGTGACCTTGTACCCTAAACCCTAAGCCCCAAAACCTGAACCCTAATTAGGCCTACTAGTGATGTCGGATCGGATGAAGCCTTTAAGCTTCGAGGCCTTCACGATCACGATTCGAAGCTGCAACCCCAAGTCCCGAACACTGTTTTTTGGGGTTTGGAATTTGATGCCTTTACATAAGGGATTCGGGTTGAGGGTTTCTGTCTTGCTACTGTTGTGTTAAGTCAAAGAAGGGATGTGCAGCTGTGAGAGCAGATGAGGCTTCGGCCACACACAACTTATCTTTGTAGGATGCCCAGTAGTACCCTTATTCCCTTTTTGTAGTCCTAGGTTCCTTATAAAGTTACCCAATGCCAAAAAGAGAGGCCTTTTTATTCTTAGGTTGCTCGGTATCCTAGTCTTTGTAGCTGCAGGCTAGAGCACTCAGATTAGCAGAGATGCTTTGTCCAAACGTGGGGTCTAAATCGAGTCTACCTATAGTCTCCATTGTAGTTCCTTTTTGGGGGTTACCTTATAGGATCCTTAACATATAAGTGGTTAAACCAAAAAAAGGAACTACAATGGAGACTATAGGTAGATTAGTAATACTAATAGTAATATCAATACTAAGATTGATATTAGTACTAATATTAATACTAAGATTGAAAGCTTGGGGACGAGGTGCCGCCAGTGCCACGATTGACCTGAACGAGGTTGGGGTCTCGGGTCGTGGAAGGCTCGAGGAGGCTCTGCGTGCATAGTAATGATGGAGGCGCTGATAATTAGAATAGGGTTTTGAGGATTATTCATTTTGCGTTTATAATGAGGAACCTATACAGTTGCACTCAAGCAACATCCAGCTTCGCGGATTCACGCATTTCGTTTGGGGTCGAGGGTTTACGGTTGAGGGCTTCAGGCAGTAAGCCATACACTCCGACACCGTTAAATCCCATAAATCCCCAACCCCAAACCCAAGTCCCCAGTGCGTGGGCCATGAGGCGAATCATGTCGATGGTCACTTCGCCAGCTTCGATGTGTCACTCTACCAGGTACGGTTTGGGGGTTTTGGTTGAGGGTTCAGGGCTTTGGGTCTAGGGTTTCCTCAGTATGCCAAGTCCTTCAAAGCCTGCAGTCGTTCTTACCTTGAGTTCGCTGCAAAGCTCTGCAAGGAGTACTGCACCAAGCAGATGAATCGCTTCCGCTACCTTGAGGACAGCATCTCACCAGCACGATAAGTACCGGCCTACAAGTCACGTCCAGGCTCCTGCGCCCACAATACCCCCAAGGGTCCAAAGGACCCAGTAATTAAGTATTCGGTTTTAGGATATAGTAGTTATGTAGGTTACTTTTCGGAGTATTAGTAGGTATTTGGACCCTTGGGGTTACCTTTTTAGACCCCACTGCCATGGTTCAGGACCCACAGAGTCTACACTTTAAACCAGGGGCCTCACCGAGAGAGTAGTAAAACAGCGACCTGGCTCTGGGCTTGGACAAAGTTGTTCAAGGCTACCTCTGCAAGTGGTCTCACTCTATGCGCTAACCCCTGAAGCCAGCAACACCTCAACCGGCGCAGGGTGTAGACTATACGATATGAGAAGCCCTTCGACCCTGTGTATCCTCTTGCGCCCCGAGCTCAGGGTCCAGGGTCCTCAAAGATGCGAGAGCATGGGGTCCTGCAGTAGTTTCCTCTCATGACGCGCACCTCAAGCCATAAAGGCATGTTGGACAACCACACTGCAACTACTGCCACCCCAAACCTCGCCTGCAGTGTCAAGTGCGAGTGCTAAAAGCTACTGCTATACAGCAGTTGAGATTCTGAGGGATTGCTGAGCAACATGCTGTTGAGGACCGTGCCAGTACGGAGACTGTAGCATCATGAGATCGCTGTACTGGATCTTTTCCTGGGGTCAATCGGTCAATGACCTCAGTTGGGGCACTGATTTGCGACTCTGCGGCCTGAGCACCCACTTTACCTTGACCTAGACCACCGGACCCGAATTCGCAAACCCATGTAGAGTCCAGGACGTAGGCTGAGGATATTGTCCCAGTTCCGCCTGCAGGCGAGGGCTAATGATGTTTTTTTTCGTGGGATTCCTTATGAAAATGACTCGTAAGACTATTGTGTAGGCTTCCGTATTCCTGTGTATGTACTACTTCTTATAGGGCTTCTCAATACAATAACTCTGGCAAGAGTATTGTGTAGGTTTTTTGTTGCAAGTATACTCCAATATAGCACCGTTTACCTCAAGCTGTGTAGGGTTTAGGGTTAAGGGAACTGCGGGCTCACTGACGGTGGCATGTGCTTGGGCCTCGGCCGTAATGATAGAGGTCGAGCGGATCTGGCAAGTCTTCAAGCTTACTTGCAGAAAAAGTTGCAGCACGGTTTATCCTCAAGCCGCCCCTAGGCTTCATAGTAGTTCCTTTTTAGGAGTACCTTACAGGATTCGCAACATGAACCACCAAAAATGACTATGTAGCCTATGGCTGTGGGAGTCAAGGTATTACGTCTCAGAAGATGGATGTGGAGACGCAGGCTGGGGATGGGAGTGTCAGGGCTTTGTAGATTAGGGAATGTTGGGTTTAAGGGCAAATCAGAGTTTAGGATTCAAAAGTTTAGGGTATATGCTATGGAAAAGTTGGGTTTAATGTTGACCCCTGATTAATAACCCCCCCCCCGCGCCCCCCCCCCCGCCCCCCCCCCCGCCCCCCCCCCCCCCCCCCCCGCCCCCCCCCCCGCCCCCCCCCCCCCCCCCCCCGCCCCCCCCCCTCAAGGTTGTCAAGGTCGCAGGCCCCCCACAGGATCACAGACCCCCAAATAATCCCGTGAAGCCAAATTGCAGTAAACAGTGGTGCTAGTAGTAGTAGTCGTAGTAGCAGCAGTAGTAGCAGTGGCAGTAGCAGTAGCAGTAGCAGTGCCACAGGAGTTTGATTAATCGTGGGACGTTGATTAATCGTGGGTGACACACGATTGCTGGGGATAGCTCAAAAAGCTTGTTTGGGGGCTTGGAACGACACAGCAAGTAGTGTTGAAATCACCACTTTGGAGGATTAAAACGTGAAGCGGTTTTGGGGCCAATGAGGTTTCAAGTTTAATATCGGGGAAGGGTTTAGGCCTAGACCAAGTCTTGCCCCCTTTAAAAGTAGTCTTCGAAGCACTTTTTGAAATTTTAGATCCCCAGACGGTGTTGCCTTTAATCGTGGGGGTTTTCTGCAAAAAACGATCCTTATTTGGGTGCTGCCTTTAAAGTAGTACAGATTGGGGCCGGAGCCGCCCGCAGGCCGCCTTTAATCGTAGGGGGATTATTAATCCTAGGTCAACATTAAGGGATAATCTGGGTTTAGGATTTAAGAGCTGAGGGTTGAGGGTTTAGGCTGTGGAAAGTTCGGCTTGAAGCTTCCACATGGAGTTCATCAAAGCACCCCTTCCAGTTTACGCACGAGAAGGACTCAAATGTAGGAGCTGGAGCACGACCAATAATAACTTCCCAATCACATCATGTGATGTGGGTTGAGGTTGATTTTGGACAGCTTGCTGTCTTAGCAAATGCTTCCAGACGCTTATGCATCGGGGCAGCACCAGAGCTCCGTTTCATGCAGATCTCCCCCGTCGCAGTGCCTCAACTGGAACTTCTCTTCTGTCTTTGCGGTTAGGAGAGCAAATCCTCTTATGCTCCCATGTTGGACCCCGAATATTGCATCCTAGCTTTCTGTGGGCTTGTCTGGGCTTGTCTCGCATGGCACCCCACGGCATGGCAAGCTGACAGCAGGCTTCTACAGGGTCTGCAAGGCGTGATCAGGAAACCCTCAACCCTAAAGCCGCAGTACTAGCCGTATTCTATCGAATCTGACCACGGGCTGAATGCGGCTTTGCTGGACTGGAGCTCGGGAACCATCTATGAACCCACACACCCTGACATGAACAATAGTTCAATCGTGAGTACGCGCATAGATTGCAAACAAATTACATATGAATGCGCAACAATGCATGCACCATCAATATGTATGTTTTTACATATATATATATATATATATTGTATTCACATACGCACTTTACACACATACATACGCGCACGCACGCGCACACACACACATGTCTACATGTGTATATATACATATATACAGAGTACACGGATGTACATCTGTATATACATGCGTAAGCACACATACTGACATCGGCGTGTAAACTGCAAGCAGGTCATTTACATTGACACAGCTGCCACTGGGCCTTGTCTGTTTTGGGCCGGAGGGAGCTACAGTAGTTCCCACTTCTTCCTAAGGGATTTCTGCTGCTCAAGGCTTGCAGTCTAGAGTAGTCACAAGAGTCTCTAGAGCTGGGGACGGAAGCAGACAGGGCTATGGGGTCTCGGAGATGTTCTGAGGCAGAAGCGGGGTTGCTGGGGCGAGGGGCGGGGGGGGGGGTTATGCTTGAAGGTTTTCTGTTCTCTAGGTCAAGTCAGTATCAGATCTTGTTTGCACGGCAAGTCCAGGACCAGGCCACTACCAATGTAAGGTTTCTAAGGGGACCGATCGAAGGTGCTCACAAGTTGTTCTGTCTCAGTTTCGTATTCCCAACCCCTCCACTCTGCCTTAACTTGGTTTCGGGCCTTAGGACCTCTGCATCCTGGCATGTCGTGTCAAATTAAACCGTTCTCAGTTTCAGAATTCAAAAACTTAACCCTAAAAGACCTAAATCCTGTGGTTTAGGAGCTTCGAGATTTGTTTGGACAGATGGAGATGATTTCGAAATTCGCGCTCAGGGTCAGCATGTCAATGTGGCTAAAGTTTCAGAACAAGCAGCATAGTATGTTCCAGGCAAGGTTGGAGGAGATGGTTGCGAGAGCGTGAATCCTTAACCCTATAAGCCACAATCCGCAACCCGAATCCCTGGGCCCCAAAAGGTCACCTTCTAGGACCCTTACATAAACTTGAACCTGTGTTTAAGTCAGGTTCAAGAGTCGAGGACTCTAAACCCCGAACCCCCAATTACAGCAACAACCGCTAATGGAACCCTAAGCCCTTGAGCCCTTGAAGGAACCCCAGTACTAATCTCCAGAACCCTTCAGCCTTCCGGATCAAGCCTCTAGACGAGCCCTACCTAGACCCCCCAAAAGTAGGTAACAATATAAAACTCCAGCACCTATAAAAGAAAAGGCCATTATTCTACAAACTTTTGGTGCTCAGGTAAGAGAGCTCTTAAAGGAACCCTAAGAACCCGGGGTTCCCCCATAGAACTTAAATTAGTTTCAGAAGTCAACGGCCCAAAACCCTAAACCTCGAACAACACCAAAGGCCCTAAGCCCTAAAACTTAGCTGAAAACTTAAAATACCAAAAAGCCCTAAGCCACAAGCTTGAGGTTCAGAAGTCGAAAACCAAGATGCCCGACATCAAAAGCCTCGCCGACCTCCTCCTGGGCAGCGGAGACGGGCCGCTTTCCCCAAAGCATTGCCTTTTGGGGCTTTAGGGCTGACAGGCCTTTTTGAGTCCGGCAGACAGAGAGAGAGAGAGAGAGAGAGAGAGAGAGAGAGAGTCTTGTCACGTCCCTCCACAAAGCCCCATAACATATGGGGGGCCCATGTGGCCGAGGGGCCTAACCAGCCCTTCAAGCCCAGAGGAAGAAGAGAGAGAGAGAGAGAGAGAAAACAAAAGTGAGAGAGGAACACAGAGACTTCGAGAGCGAGTTCTAGGATTTCTGATTTCGGGCATCCCTGGATCAAAAAACCCTGGCTGTTGTCTCAATTGTTGGTGGGTCTTGGTCTTGGTGGATTTGGGCGGGCAGGACCGAGCCAGGGGCTAACCAAGGGTTCAGGCTTGCCCCTAAAGATCGTGAGACAGCCGGCAGTGCTACAACCGTTCGGGTTTAAGGTTCAGGGCCTTGGGAAGTGTCTGTCCTGGCGTGGTGCTCGAACTCTTTCTTCCAGGCTTGGTACATGACAAGGCCAGGCTGACGGCAATGGGTTTTAGGGCCTGCGGCGTGAACTTGAGTAATTCTGCACGTCATAGTAGTAGATGCCCGACTATGCTTGTACTACAACGGAACCCCCAACCCGGGTGTCATGCTGAAACAGTGCTGTCCGAACCTCGCCGGGCTGGTACGAGAGTGACTGTCGAAGCCTTCAAGCCTTAGGTAAGTTCTTTTAAGAGCTGTAGTTTCTCGCTTTACGAGCATGCGATTTTGTGGACCATGATGAAATTTGCTGAGTCAGTATAGTTTCAGTGAGTAAACCTTAAACTAACTCGAACCCCAATCCCCGAACCTCAAACCTAGCCTCGTACCTGAACCTCGAGTGCCAGAAAGGCGCTTCATTGGTGAGCAGATCGTCTACAGGCACTGGCTTCATACTCTATGGGGGTCCGAAAGGAGACTACATCCGAAGATCTCGGGCTTGGGTGTGGTGTTTACCCAGAGGCCCCAAAGTAGTTCTTTTTTGGGATTAACCTATAGGGTTCTATATACGAACCCCAAAAAGGGACTACTTTGGGTTCTGTGGGTAAAGCTTAGAGTTCAGGGAGCTGCAAGAGAGTGTGATTTTCCCACACAAATCAGTCTTCAAAGATGCTGCCAGGGCCCCAGAACCCTTGAAGCGTGCCGAGAGAGTCCTTGCAGAGCCTTCGGACTCCCCGATGTGGTACGAACAAAGTGTGTGCGTTTAGGGTTAAGCTCTGAGGGGTCTCGGGTGTTAAGCACTGCGACCTGCGCAGGCAGTACCAGGCAGACGCCTCAAACCCCAAGACCGTAGACCCATAACAATAATTAAATTAATGGCCCCCTCGACACGTGCCCTGAAAGCTCCGCAGTCGCGACATCGTATCCCAATCACGAGTTGAAAGTGGAAACCATCAATCCCCGAACCCTCGGCCAAATATAACCCTGCGGAATCCTTCCACCACCCTTGTGAAGGCCTTAACACAACGCTCACAAAACATCTGTGGCCCATTCCAGAACCTCACGAAACCGTTTAATAAGCATAACCATGATACGAATGAATAAGACCACTGCTAATGATAATCAGGATAACAATGATGACATTAATATTTCTACCAGTATTCATAACAACAAAGCATCAGTAATAATAGAAAGAGGAACAAGACTAAGAAAAAAAGACGACCAACGTTGACGATGACCATGATAAGGAAAACCGTGAGGTGTCTGATGGTCGCCGGCCCTGGGACTGGTAAGACCTGGTCCTCCTGCCAGCTGATGTACCATCTCTCGAAGGCTTCCTTTTACAGTAGAATAGGGGTTCCTGTAAGGGTTACTATAAGGATTGCTATAAGGGTTCTAAAGGGAACTCCAGAAAGTTGGAATATCATTATCGTAACCCCTTTAAGGTAAATTATAGGGGATCCTACCATTAATCCATATTCCATCTCTCGAAGGCTTCCTTTAAAGGGCCCCGAAGTAGGGTTTAGGGTGCAGGGTTTAGGGTTTAGGGTTAAGGCTTCCTTTTAAAGGGAACTCCAGAAAGTTGGAATATGGTTTCAGGGTAGGATACCCTATAATTTACCTTAAAGGGGTTAGGATAATAATATTCCAACTTTCTGGCTTTTACTGTAAGGGCTCCAAATTGGGTTTAGGGTTTAGGGTCTTGGATAACACGAAAGGCCGTGATGCAAGGATCTGGCTGGCCCCAAGCCCAGTGGCAAAAAAAGGGTTTTGGGTTTTGGGCTCTGAGTTAGGGTTTGAGCGGTTTAAGGTTCCTTTGATGTGCGACTTTGGAAGGGGGTGTGTCCTATGGTTTAGGGTTCCTTGAAGGGCGACTTTGGAAGGGGGTGTTTCATGAGTGCTTCTTCGGGCTTTTGGAAGGGTTCTCTAAAGGCTTGTGGTGTGGTGGATCATGGGTTGTAAGGGCTACTAGGGTGTCACCGGTTTGCTTAAAGGCTTTTGTATGCTTCCTCTCGAAAGTCTTTTGGACCCCCTAAACCTCAGACACTGGCTGGGGAACCAACCCCCACACCTTTTCGTAAGCACCATAGGTGTCTAAGGTTCCTTGGGTCCCTGATTTGCAGGACCTAACTTTGCAGTTTTGGGAGCCCATGAAGACATGGTCTTGAGCGGCATTTCCGGCTGAAGAAGTTACAAACGAAATTTCCCGTTTCCAGGCCAAGATTCAAAATAGGACGTTTTCATCAGGAGCCTGACTTCAAAGTTGAAGGTTGGGAGTGCTGAGGTGTGTATGTTCGGAGATACGCGTCAGGTTGGCCGGAGGGCCATTCGATGTTAAAGGCCTGAGCCGGTTCCATGTCGGAAGCTGCTCTGCCCTGCAACACTAAACCCGCACCCAAGCTGCTGGGGAGTGACTCCAGGTGTGTGCCAACGAGTCTTCCACGGAGGGGCGGCCCAGCGAAAACAGCACCTGCGAGTTTTTTTCCGAAGTTGCTGAAACAACAGAATTCTTTTCGAGACCGGTTCACGGTTTGGGGTTAGGGTTATGGAGAAGCTTGAGCAATTAGCAAGACCATGCTTTAGGGTTCCTTATTTCATGCACCCATTAATCAAGTTCGATTTCTAGTCAGTAAGTTGTAAGGTTCTTATGTTGCAGACCGCGTGCTTCTTACACGGGCCCGGTGTTGAAATCGTTTGGTTTTGGACCTCTCGAAGATTGGTGCTTTTCCGTCAACTCTTACTCTTGGGGTCTCGTTATCGTTTCAGGGGCTCCAACTTGGAGCAATAAGGAGCTTCAGTGTAACAGCAAACCTCAGAAGGACCCTGAAAAAACACTCCAAACCGAGGTGCTTACTTAAAGGTCCGTGCGACTTGGTAACTAGTTGATGTTACAAAACAGGGCAACGATGCTTATGATTCGCTACAAGAGCGAGCCCGATGTAGGGTTTTGGCTGACTGGAAGCTGCCAAGGATTGTCAAAGTTCCCGTGCTGATCTTCGCGCAGAAGTTAGCAGGCCGGGGTTCGGCATCACCTCGTTGCCAAGAGCATCCACATACTACTACTACTACTACTACTACTACTACTACTACTACTACTACTACTACTACTACTACTACTACTACTACTACTACTACTACGACCACCACCACCACTACTACTACTTCTACCACCACTACTACTACTACTACTACTACTACTACTACTACTACTACTACTACTACTACTACTACTGCTACTGCTACTGCTACTGCTACTGCTTCGCTATTGCTGTTGCTATTGCTACTACTAAGACTACTACTGTGGAACTAGGTGCAAAAGCCATAATAGCCATGGTCTTTTGGGACGGCCAATCAACACCGCAATTAACATCATTACCACTTATGAAGATTATACTTCTAATCATTGTTCTTGTTATGATGTTCTGCAATAGGATGATACGATGCTGATATCCTGGCCATGCTTCTTGTCGGCCAAAGCTCCGTCGGGGGTTCTGCTTTTGCTGTGCTGCTCTTCAAAGTGCTCACGACCGTTCTGCTTAGGAGTAGGACGTGAGGTTTAGAAACTTCTGGATTCGGTACCCATAGACTCCATAGTAGTTCCTTTTTGGGAATGCCTTTTAAGATGATGAACATGAACCCCACAAAGGAACTGCTATAGAGCCTATGGGTAGGTTTGGGATGTTCGACGATTGGAGGTTCGCTGGTGGTCACGAGTGGGCGTCGAACTTAGATCAGGGAGTGACTCCACATCCAGTAGTAGTAGTAGTAGTAGTAGTAGTCGTCGTCGTCGTCGTGGTGGTAGTAGTAGTAGTAGTAGTAGGAGCAGCAGCAGCAGCAGCAGCAGCAGGAGTAGGAGTAGGAGTAGGAGTAGGAGTAGGAGTAGGAGTAGGAGTAGGAGTAAGAGTGGGAGTGGGAGTGGGAGTGGGAGTAGGAGTAGGAGTAGGAGTAGGAGTAGGAGTAGGAGTAGGAGTAGTAGTAGTAGTAGTAGTAGTAGTAGTAGTAGTAGCAGTCGTCGTCGTCGTGGTAGTAGTAGTAGTAGTAGTAGTAGTAGTAGTAGTAGTAGTAGTAGTAGTAGTAGTAGTAGTAGTAGTAGTAATAGTAATAATAATAGTGGCGTAGTGGTGTAATCGCAGCTGGGAGCTACAACGCATGAAAAGCATCAGAGCCACCATTGTCTTTTGCAATAGGTCAGTAGGGACCACTTTCCTACGATGCCTGCAGCTTGAACGGTTTTGATGAAGTGTTCAAGCCTGACGACCACGTGCTACTACTATTGTACTACTGTACTACTATTGTACTACTACTGTGCTACTACTGTTCCTCTACGGTACTACTACTGTACTACTGCACGATAGCTGCTGACTGTCTGCCGAATCGCAAGTGGCAGGCATGATTCGTGGACACCAGATGAACGACAAGATCTACGCAGAAATGCCGTTGTCGGACCCTTCGCTAGCTTGTTGGCGGGTGTTTTTTGGCAGGCTGTCACAGGCATGCAGGAAATCTGTCGCCCCAGAGAAACTCAGCATTATGCTCCACGAACAAGCATGAGCTGCGTGTTCCAGGGTTCTCTCCTGGAAAAGGCTTAAATCCGAAATGGGGATGTACAAAGAGTTTTTGCCTGGGTTAAAACAACTTGTACTCCGAGTTCGGGCATCCGGCAGATTCAGCCCAGGTGTGCCAGGTTAGGGCTTAGGATTCAGGTCCAGGGGTCGGGGGTTTGGAATTTCTGCAGGGCCCTAAACTCTGAACCAGAAGCCCCCTAAGCCTCCACCCGAATGTTTTTGCGTGAGGCTTCCTGGCATATGCATAGGCACAGCCCGCCCGAAAGAGTTGTAGTATAGCTCCCCAACGTCCCAAAGCCCGGGCCGGCCTAGCCGTAATGTCCATATAGGGTTCCTTAGCAAAGGCGGGTGGTTGTCAAAATTAGACCCCCTTTTTGGGTCCTCGTTATAATACAGCACCTATTATTAAGGGTGCCCAAACAGGGGCCATAATTTTGACAACCACCCATATAGACTAGAAGCTGCCCCCACCCTGCAATAGTAACTATAAGGATTATATTAGGACCCTGTTATGTTCCTATTATACCACTATTACAAGGTGGGGGCCCCTTCTAACATATAGAGCAGAGAACTCCCCAAAGCCTCAGTCGAAGTGTTGACGCCCCTATTCTTCTTGGACCTGGCTCGTAGGTCCGACCCGTGTGGCGGCTTGGACGGCTTGGTGTATCGACTATGTAGAGGTTTAGGGTGTTTAGGGTCTGTCTGCGAATATTTCGGGTGGTGGTGGTGGTGTATGTATATTTGTATACATATATACACACATATATATATATATACATATATATAATGTATAAATATATATATATATATATATATATATATATTATATGCTTTAGGGCTTAACCTCTGGAGAGTAGGGTTCAAATTATTTACGTTGGACCCCCTGATTCCAGAATCTACAGCAGCGACATACAGTAAATCAGTTTTATCAATCCTATTCCTCACCTTCGTTCACTTTCTCGGAAAATCTGCGGTGGTTGGAGAGTCGAGTGCCAGGGCCGAAGGCACCCTACGTATACATGGCCGGTGATATCCGTGGGTTTGGGGAGTTGGGGATGTTTAGGGGTTTGGGGGTTTGGGGTTCGGGGTTTCGTGTTTAGGGAACGCTCAGGCTTAAATAGACCTAAAGCAACCAGGAGCGCGATGCCCTCCTGGATAAGCCTTGGCTGGAAGATGCTTTTCGGATGGAGCCCCCCGGATCCGTCCTGGAGGTTTGTAGGGCTTTTGGCCTGGCTTGGGATTGGGGCTGCAGTTGGGGTTTACGGTTTGTGTGTTCCGTGGTTCTAGCAGAGTTCGGAGGCAAGAGATGGCGGCTCAGGCTTTGTAATGGTTCACGACGGTTTAAGGCTGGACGAGCTCCAATCTACGTAAATAAAAGGGCTCAGGATCAGAGGGCCCTGGTTGCGCATAACACACATACAAAGTGAGGCTTCCCTGAAAAGGTAGCGGCTAGTCTTTGAGTAACAACCCGTAGATGTAGCATTGAGGGTGGTGCGTGCTTCATACGAATTGAGTACGGCCCCAAGCCTTTTACAAAGACATCTCATCCTGCGGGTACCAACCTAATTGCATGACTACTGGTTGCTACTATCCTAAACCCAAGTCGTGCTTGCCTACTTACTGGCACCTTGCGTCCATTAGGGTAACATCAAGCAACCCTCGACAGGACCCATAGAGTTTAAGGAACCTCCAGAGAGTTAAATGTCTGGATGCCGATCTCTCCGGGTCGATCTCGGAAGCCCCCCTTGTCGGTCCAAAGGGCTTTTTAGAGTTAGAGTGCGACTTGAAACCTCTCTGTGTAGGCATTTAGTATAGGGTTTCACATCAGGGCCCTATTGACTTGAACGCGGTCTTTGGGTAAAGTATCGTATACTTCCGTTGGGAATTCCACGGCTTAATTTTGCTAGCTGCTCGCCTCCTGCAATGAAGATGCCACGAGCTCTGCCAGGCCCCACTATATATTTCTATACACTGTAAAGACGTGTTAAGCTCGACACCTTACAAACACGGACAAACACCCTATGTCCCAACGTGAAAAATCGTCCTAAGCCTCAGTCTGATAAGCGGCGCCCTGAAGCGGCTGAGGTGTGGGAAGGAATATGCAGACGTCCTTCTGAGAGCTTTGAAGCTCCGCAGTGCCATCGCTGCTTAGCTCTGCAAGAGTTGTAGGGCTTGGGGCTTACTTGGAGATTCATGGGTAGTCATAAGGGTTCCTTTAAGGGTCCCTTTAAAGGGATTTATAGGGATTCTATAAGGGTATAGGGTTTAGGGTCTACTTGGAGGTTCATGGGTAGTTATAAGTGGGGTTATAAGGGTAACTATAATTATGACTCCTATTAGGGGACTTATTACCCGACTTATAACTACCCATGAACCTCCGAGTAGGGCTTCGGCTGTAGAGGACTCTGTCAGTTGTGTACCTCCTAAGGTCTACCTGTATCCGGAAAGACCTACCTTTGCAAGGAACTACCCATAGAAACCATAAGTAAGTCTTTTCGGCTACAGGTAGGGATGAGGGTGTGGGGTTTGGGTGTTTGCCATCTCGGAACTACGTGAGCAGGCTGCAAGCACGCATGCAAGCAGTATAGCATAGTATATTAGAGTATGACTGTATCGTATACGATATTAAGACAGTATATAAAGCTTAACCCAGGGAAGTTATGAACCCAAGTTTTGTCCCATTCGCTATGCCCGCTCATGCATAAATTATAAAGTCGGATTTGAGTCTTCCTGATGCCTAGACCTTACACCCTAAGCCATGTCCACTGATAAACTCGAGTGTGAGTTTCAGGCAAACGAAAGGCCAAAAGTAAACCCTCATTTAGCTCCGCAAATCATCATTCGCTCTATTGTTTCAGTGCCATCAAGACTTAGGTTCATTACATTGGGGTTGCCGGTTTCGGAAATCTCCGGTGGAAGAGGGTTGAAAGGGCTTAGGGCTTGGCACATCCCTGAAACGCCGGCATATCACCATGTCAAGTCTTGTTGGGGAAGAGCTATCTTAAGCCTTAGACCTTGAAGTCAGGGTTTAGGGTTTACCTAGACCCTCAAAAGTAGGTAAAATAATGGCCCAAAGCCTATAAAAGGCCATTATTCTACATGCTTTTGGGCTCCAGGTAGAGGTCTTAAAGTCGAAGCCAGAATGTTGGAACAGGGGTTCAGGTGATGTACCCTCGCTTGCAAGAGGGCATGCGGATAATGATGTTCCAACTTTCTCGCTGCAGTTTCATGCCTTCTAGAACTCTGCGATGTAGGATGCATCAGCTGCCCAGACCAACTCCGTTCTTGCCGGGCCTTTCTGACACCCGAAGTCCCTGCCAGCGTCAAGCCCTAACATAGAAGCACCCATGATCGGCGGTGTTCGTTCCTTCTGATCCTTCTGTCAGTCCTACCACACTCCGTTGCTATGGCTCAGACCTCGGAGTTCTCTGCCCATGCCTTACGCCTTGTACAAATCGTTGTTATGGGGTTTATAAAGGGGTTTGGGTTTGGGGCTTCATACCTGCTTGTTAAAAGCTCCGAGAGCTTTCTTTGAAGCTTTACAAAGCCCCAGGTAGCACCCTTGCGGAACCAATAGACTGGTAACGGCGCATATAGAACCCAATGAAACCCGAATATAGCACCCCAACTATATAGTAGGATGCCTTTTTATAAGGACCCCAAAATCAGGTACCCCAAGTTTTCGGAAACTCCCATGCAAAAGAGACGTATGCAAGCCTGGACATGCTTCGGTTAGCAGATGAAAAGTTCACAAGGTCATCTTGGATGGCATTGATGAAGCTTCGGATGTCAAGGGCATCATGCAGGACTCCATGCAGGTCTTTGAAGGACTTGCAGGTTCATGGGTAGTTATAAGCGGGGTTTTAAGTAGGATAACTATAGTTATAAGCCCTATTAGGGGACTTATAACTTATAACCCTACTTATAACTACCCATGAACCTCCAGGGATGGGCTAAAGTACTGGCAATTGTCTTCCTTGTGCTCCCGAAGCGGTAAGCACGCCCTTCAACGGGCTTAGCGTCTTTGAGATAGGGCTGCTGCTCAGTTTCCATATGTAAGGCTTCTGAAACAGTTCCACGAGGGTTTAGGGTTTCTGAACACGCCACAATCCATACAAACGGCTTTGATATGACTCCCTTTCTCTGTTTTGAAAGCTGGGCTGTACGCTTGGCTTCGCGTTTCAAGCTGAGGGCTCTCATGTGCTAAATTGCGCTGCGAGGCATTGGGTGCATTTTCCTGGTTTACGGCTTCCTTATGCCAGAAATATCTTAGAGCTTAGGGCTTAGGGTGTGTGCATGTGAGTACTTGTAGGATCTTGTGATGTTAGAAGAGCCTACAGGTTTAGAGGTTCTGGGACAGTTCCTGCCGGCAAGAGTGGCCTTTTCCTACCTTTGGCCAGGTGGTAGCTCTGACCAAGTACTATAGGGGCCCAAATATTTACCAATATTACCTATGCTCTCCATTGTAGTTCCTTGTTTTGGTCTAACCAATTATATATTAATGATCCGATAAAGTAAGCCCAAAAAGGAACTACAATGGAGACTTTAGGTGGTTTGGGGGCACTTGTTAGAATTATTGTATAATGGGCCCCGAATCCCAGTTCTAATTATTATAACTATTAAGGCCCCTATATTACAGGCATGTATCCAGAACCTCTGACCAGGACTTCGTAATGAAACGGCTGGTGGCAATGCAGATATCTGTCGAGCCTCGGCTCAATCGCACACCGCATGGCCGAACTGTAGGATGTCACAAAGGCCTTATGGGATCTTATGGGGTTCTACTATAAGGGTTCTACAGGGGTCGGCTTTGTAAGTTCAGCCTTAGCCTACCAAAACCTACTGTTTGTGGGCTCTTAGTCTAAACCCTGATATGGAATTCACACGAACCCTACAAAATAGTAGGTTCAGGTAGGTTAAAGAGGGTTTACGTCAAGGAGCTTTAAGGCTACTTGGGGTGTTTGGCTTTTGGGGTCCGGGGTTTAGCCGTCACAGCTCTAGATGTTTGACCTATGCATGGACATGAGTCATGAATGCCCGGCTTAAGACAAAGTTCACACGCCAAACTTTAAACTTTAAACACGATGCCAGACTTTCAAAGCCTGAAAGCCGCAAGCACGATCATGAACAAGTTTTCAAACTCGGAACATTGAAGCTCCACACGTACCTCCAGACTTTCCGACGGAAACCGCAGGAAATCTGGAGAATCAATAGGCTCAGCCCTGAAATAACCCGGCGTCCCCATCCTTCCACCCTGCAGCAGCGGCTCCGCGAACCTCAAAGAATGAACTACCCTTAGCGAAAGTGGTTTCTTGAAATGACTTTGCAGGGTTTTTATGTCTAAGGTGCTCACCTCCCGACCGGAGGGTGTGAGTGCAGCTTTGCCGCTGGGCTTCTTTAGGTTTCATCTCGGGGGTTGGAGTCAAACAAATGTAACAGGAACTTCCAATTATAGCGGATGTTTACCTCAAGGTCAACTTTGACGCAAAGCTTCGCAGTGATGTCCCTGCCGCCTGGATGCATTGGATGCGGGGACGATTGAGAGCTTGCGGAAGCCAAGATGAAGCATTCGTCTCCAATGACACCGAACACCTACAAAACGTTGCAGCTCCCCAATGGAAACAACTGCAAAAGCCGCGCCAATCCTGTAATTCCTTCTTTCGACAGCTCAGCTCCTGTAAGTCTACGTCGTTTGCCCACCGCCTGTTCGAGGAAAATGCTGAGACTCCCGCAGCCACATGTAGGGTTGGGGGTTGCTGTTTGGAGTACCAGTCTGGCGGTGTCCAGAAAGTTCGGATGAGGTCTAATATGTTGTCCATGGCTGCAAGAAGGAGCCCACATCTCTAAGCGAGGTTGCTTTGGTTTGTCCGCAAGTTCGGGCATAGACCGTGCACCGCGACTGACTACACCAGACAAAGACTTACGGCCTCCACCCGGCATGCCATGCTCACAGTCCACTGGAAGCCGTGAATCGTCAATCCAAGATGAACCGGCTAGAGGAGCCGGCTTAGGATCCATGCAGGGTAAGCTGGGTTATTCAGGTTCGCAACTATCATCATGGCTTCTATATGGTGTTTGTCAAAGGACCGGTGTACCAGATCTCGAAACGCTTCGTCCTGTCGGTGTGCTTGCATCGTTTTTGATCATGCAAACTCCCACTATGCATTCGGCTTCAACTACAGGAAGCCCTTGTCGGATGAGCAGCAGAAGCAGATCATTCTGTGACCCGGATTTGTCATTAGGGCAGGGCGTCTATGGATTATTCCGTCCGTTTCATGTCGTGTCACCATCTAAGCTTTTTGTCAGCCAGCCCTAACGGCTACTATCGAGCGAAGAACATACTATGTGGAGACTCCGTAACCCGGTAATTTAGAGGCATGAATCAATATTTAGTATTCTATTCCCTGCAATACGTAATTCAAGTTTTTTCCCCCACACGTTGCCGCATAGAACCTAGGTCCCCAAGCGCCTAAAACGCGTCTCGACGCTTGTATCCCGTAAATAGTTCAGTACGTGCAGGCATAAGTTTGACAGATGCATCCCGGAATCCCTGTAGCCTGCATACTGCAGGGTTCTGAAGAAGACCAACCCTCCCTGACCTAATCTACTTTGAGTGGGGGTGTTACACGGATGTGGTCCCGGCAGTCATCCCGGTACATTTTAAGTTGTTTCCGTGGGGCATCCAGCTCGGACGATGTATATAAATGGGTTCCTCGGTCGGCCCCCGGACCAACGCACAGCCGCGAATCGTACTTAAGGAGATGAGGGACCCCCAACTACTTCAGTTCTTGGGGTGGTCTGAATGAGTAGACCCGTAGAAATGCTATCCTCTCATCGTCCCTTACAACTAGAGTACACTATACGCAACACCCTGTTGAATCTGGTAGGTAACCTGATACATGGATTCTCGAGTCGATAGCAGCTCAGAGTTGGGGATATTGAGCCGACAGAAGATGACAGAAGTCTGATCCTGCGCTGCTTACCGAGATATACAGGGAAGAGCGCGAGATACAGGGAAGGGGCTGGAAGAGAGAGAGAGAGAGAGAGAGAGAGAGAGGCAGACAGAGAGAGCAAGAAAGAGCGATGGAGCGTCAACGGTGAACATGACGGCAAAAATGTGAAACAAGCAAAGGTGCCAGACGAGAAAAGTGTGCCGCTGCACCGTACCGTTGAGCTTAGGGTGTGGGGTTTAGGGCCTTTACCAAGTGTTGCGTGTCCGACCCGCATGACAGGGCACATGGTCGAACGCCCGTACTGGCGTAAAGATGTAGACAGGGTCCAAAGAAGTTGAGCTACCACTGCGACCTAGGCCCGTAAACCATACGACCTGAACCCTAACTGACATCAGGTGCATCTTTAAGGTATTTGTCTTATCGTCCGACTCTTAGCACTAAGCATGTTTCACAGCATTCAGCAGACCTCGAACCAAATGCCTTGCCTGGATTGTCGGAGTGCGAGCGCCGAAACCTTGTGCACCCAGAGACCTCGTCTGGCCGAGTCCGAGTTGCGAGAATGTAAACCCTAAAACTTCCCCAAACCCGAAAAGGATTTACTGAGTTCTTATTAAGGAGTTTAATCTAAGGTACCATAATATATTATTTACTATGGATCCCTAGTTTGGTAACTTAGATTAAAGTCCTTAACAAGAACCCAAGTTTAGGGTCTCGATTCTTCAGTTCCTGGTTCTGAAGATTCCGAGGCATCAGGTGAAGGTCCAAAAGAATGAGTTCTTCGAGAACCTCCTGAAGTTCGCGGAGCCCGGTTTACGGCTTCATATGTTTAGGGTTCAGGGCTTGGGCATTGGGCTCAGGTTTCGGAATGCAGCGAACCTACAAAAGTTCACATGCTTTGCCGGGCTTGCTCCTGGCTTGGTAGGTAAGAACGTGCCACGTTCGTTTGACCAGACCTTGTGTAAAGCCACGGCTTAAACCAGGGAGACATCCGACCTTTGAGAGTCGATAACGGCAGATCCGCCCCAGGATGGGTTGTTGTTAAGGTGCTTTAGGATGGGTTAGGTACACGGGTGCTTGAGCATGTTAAGAGAGAGACAGCGAAGCATGCCATTGCTGTGTCCATGTTGAGTTTTGTTTGGCAAGCAGGGCATGAGGAGTAGACGGGCCTTCATGATTAAACTGCTACAGGTTGGGGGTTCAGTACAAGTATACAAGGACTATAAGGGGACGGTATCACATGCAAGGCGAAGGCCTGCGAAATGGGAGTTCATGATGGATAGCTTCAGCTGGTCTGACCTGTATTAAATATAATTATGAACTGTGTACTATATACTATATACGCTATCTATCTATTTATGTATCTATCTATCTATGTATATATATATATATATATGCACACACTATGGCCCCCAAACCCGATTCTAGATGTTCAGGATGCAGTGAGCCGAGGTGTTCAGGGATCAGAGGAACTATCCCGCACCTAGGTCTGCCCGTGCCGCTGTGCATCTTTAACATACGATCTCTGGGGCCGGGAAGGTGTCGAGGTCGTACATTGGCCCAGAGTAACAAAGTGGCGGCTGTTGATGAGGCTTTGTGCTTGCTCAGATGTGCATCACTGGCTTAGCCGCCTTGTGACCAAAAATGAAAGAGCCCTTTCCAAAGCATGCACCCTTCTAAAGCCTTAAGAATCTCAAGCTTTGAACGCCTGCAGCCCCCCAAAACCGAAGAAAAACGATAAAAAGCACAACAAGCCCGAGGAGATCCGCAAAGAGCACGACAACATCTACTTCAACAAAGCCTTTGCCGACCCGAAGGATTGGTTTGGGGTGGGGTGGAAGGGGGGGATTTAGGGTTTAGGCCAGTTTATTGGGGACACCTGCAGGACCGAGGTTTCATGGAGCACAAACTGGCGGCGGTGAACCGCTTCAAGCACCTCAGACTGAAAACTATGGTTTGAGGGTCCGATAGGGCCGATTTAGGATTTTTTTTGTGTAGGGAATTTCGTCTTCGGGCTTAGGGTTTTGGTTTAGGGTTTGCGTGTTCAGGGTTGAGGGATTTGGCTTTCAATTCTTCGGGGTTTCGGAGTTTAGAGGTTAAGGGCTCCAAAGGTCTTCGTACTGAAAGACACGATTTTCGAGCGCAGGCGTCGACGTCGAGGGTTTAAAGGCACCGGACGGCCAACATAGAAGACGGGAGAGTTTTAGAAGTCTAGGGCTTGGCGACCCCGAAACGCCTGCGTGAGCTATAACTGTAAAAAGTTAAACCCTAATCCCTTAAACTCGATACATCAGGGATGTAAAGTGCTCTCCGGAAAGTTTGCGGCTGATGGGTTGTTACAGGGGCCTCAATCATTACTAGACATACTACGTGACGTACTATGTTGGGGTTCCTTGTTATATATAGGTATAGCATAATTAATGGACTTCAACACCCTGTTCTAATTATTACGGCCTCTATTTCATATCTGCTCTTGTTTTAGAATGGCTTGCTTAGTTCGTATGGGAGTTTCCGAATCGGGGATCCTAATATATAGCACCCCAAATAGTAGGATCCTTATAAGGACCCCCAAGACAAGGCACCCGTAATTTTCGGTAACTCCCGTATTGGGGGTCACAGCACCCCCTCTTTAGCCTTGGGTAAGGGCTCGGGTTTAGGGATGTTGAAGGTTTAGGGTTGAGGGATGTTGAGGGCTCCAGGATATTGGGCTCAAGAAGTCTGAAGATCACTATAGAGTTTTGAAAGTGTCTGCGGGATCTTTGAGATCTGGAGAATGGCCATAACAACCAGTCGTCGTTGCTGTACGCCGCGATATGCCGTTTTTCTTCGGGCCTCCACTCAGTCTTAATTGCTGCATCTTGCCACAAACCCCGCAAGCCTATCTAAGAACGAGAAGCATGGGCCCGAACTGAAACCGCCGAACCCTCCTGGACCTTGAACGCCTTTCCAAACCTCATAAGCCCAACAGTCTCTCATTTTGTTGAGGAAGGATGATGGCAGCTGGGACGAAAGCAAGCTGCAAAAGTGCCTCTCTGGTGAGGCCAGGCCGGAGATGGAACAGGACTCGGGAAGGTTTCTGGGGATTTTTTTAGCAGCTTCGGGAACGATCGCTGAATCCCCTGTCTGCGCTTATTCCTCACCTTTTACTTCCATGTTCGCAAGCTCAGGGTTGCTTTACGGTTTCGGGGCTTTTGGTTTCGGGATGCTTCTGAGGCGTCTATGGTCATACTAAACTCCCATAATACCCCTTATAGGAGTTGTTATAGACCCCTTTAACAGGAACCCTTAGGCCCCTAGTTATTTGTAACTACGTGAGTGAAGCTTGGGCAAGCCCAAAGCAGCGCTTGGAACGAGCATCCTGAAGCGGCAGCAACAAGCACTAAGGTCACTAGGCTAAAAAGCGGCTTAAGGTTGAAAAAAGCTTCAACCCTAAACCCCTGAAACCTATAACCGTTGCAACTCCCCGGCATATCGCAGAAAACCAGAGCCGTTCTTGAAGCTTCGTTTACCTACGCGCAAGCCTTCCAGCCTTGCAGTCGTCCCGCGGTTGACATAACTCATTACTCGAGCATCATAACGGCAATAGGTACAACGATTAACAATGCTGATAGCTGCATCGCCAGGTGGTTGGTGCACGAGATCTAGGCGATCCGGGGTCCAAGCTGCCTGTGAGGATTCGAGTTGCTTCTTCTTTGGTTTGCTATGGGGTTGACAGCCGCTGCTGCATCCTTGTTTTCTAGGCTCCTACCGAATGGGAGGAAACCGTAGGCTTCGCGGCTGGTTCCCGATCACTCGAGCCTTGATCCACCTCCTTGTTCAGCAGACCTTAGCGCGATGGTCGGAGAGCAAGGGCCTGTGTGAGCGCTTTTTATGGGTTGTATGATTCAGGACATGACGCTTCAAGTTGTATGATTTAGGGCAATCAGTCTACGTAAAGGTTCTACAGGGGCATTATGCTAAAGGTTCTATCAGGCAGGGCAGCGTGCTACAGGTTCTGCAATTAAGGGCCTTACTTGCACTAAAGGTTCTGTAAGGGCTCTAATGTACGAGCCTGATTAAGAAACCCTGGGCCTATAACCCCGAAATAATGGGGAAAACTAAGGAACCCTAATAAAGGCCCAAGGTTTCTTAATCAGTTTTCTACATTATACAGGATCCACCATCGGGGTCTCAGTAAGCTGGGACCGAAGGCCAGGCAGAAGATTCCCCATGTCATCCAGCATAGAGAAAGGGCTTAGTATAAGGGGCCTAAATAATTACCAATACTATTTTTGGGGGTTCCTTTTTGTAGTTATAGCATATAGGTTCTGGCACAAGACAGCGTGGATCGTCCCTTTCCCTATCCGTGCCGCCATGGTACCAGCTTCGCGCGAACCGCAGGATTGCCACTATGTCCCGCAGTGATTGACATTACGACTTCTTGCCGATTGCCAATACAAGCACATGCGCCTGACCGTCCACTGCAGGTCGGTACTCAATTCCACCGCTACGATGATCAGATTATCAGTGGAGGATGGGCTCTCCTTAGACTTTTCCCACCTGACCATTAATCTTGACTGGTATCACGCTTTCCAACAAATTATTCTGGAGGTTTTATGTGGGTCTGAATGTCATCCCGCACTCTATTTCCAGACCGATGTGGGAGTGGTGTGCCTCCCTACGTTTGTTCCACTTGACCCTGCCGCTTTTTGCCTACGTGTTTTGCCAAGCATGGGAGACCGGTGGCTCCCAATGACGCAACCGGAAGCCTCTGGAACATCCCATCAGACTGTCAGGTCTGCAGGCGCATGTCTACACCGTACGACGGGACACACTTCTGGATGACCATACATATGATCTGTCAAAGCTTGCACAGCAACTTCCCACTGGATGACATTGACTCCAACTTAGCAATTGCCCCGTTTGAAGTATTCCACAAAGCTGTCTAGGGGAGCCGACATGAGGCGAACCGGGGGACCACGGCCTTCCCACGCTTTACACCAACGTCAACTGACTTATCACGTGATCCATCTTTTATCGGCGAGTGGTCACGAATTCCCCTTGTGCGTCGGGCGAGCTTTACCAGCGACTCTAGAAGCGTCCTTTCTGACTAAGCTTTTCCCCACGGTGGCCGGAAAATTTACCCTAGTCCTGCCATCGTCTCACCCGAAAAGGGTAGCGAAGAGCCCTGTATAGATATGTCCATCGTGTATGTAGTTTTTCCGGAACTTGTTCCCCAAGCTGTATGCTTCCGCCGACTCTATGTTTTCCCCGCACGTTAGTCCCATTGACAGGGCTGCTGACGAGCGGTCTCACCTGTGGACACGCTCTGCGCGACTGAGAGAGAGAGAGTTATAGTATATAGTTATTCAGGCCCCTATGAGGTTTCATGCTTGAGTCCCGTAGCAAAAAAGGGTTAATGTTAGGGTTTAGGGGGCATCAGCAGGGTAGAACCACCCTAAACCTGAATAAACCTTCCGACGACTCGAGACCTCGAATCCTAAATGCTGCTACTAGTACTGCTGCTGCTCATGTCATGCTTCCTATGATTCATTACTAGTACTGTAGCATTAAGGACTACTGGGCCTAAGCCACTTGGCCTCGGTTCTCAAGCTTAAGCCAAGAGCGACAAAACTTTTCGCCGGGTTTGTAGGTCTGAATCCCAAATCCTGAGCTCCTCCAGAGCCCAAGAAGACGGAATCCTAAACCCTAAACTTTAAACTTGACCCCTGAACAATTTCCTGACCCCAAATCCTGCAGCATGAAATCGAGTCACAACCACCGGAAGGGGCCGAGCCTCAAGCGACATATCTACAGAACGCAAGCGACTACTTCTCTGAGGACCTCTTTAGCCACTCGCTTGAAAGCTTGGTGTAGCAGATACGGTTCAGGATTTGAGCTGTAGGGTTCCCAGCAAAGGCGTTGCAGGCTGGATGCACAAAGCGTTAAGATTTGTGAGTCAGTTTTGCCTTGGGCATTTGAGGGTCGGGCTTCGACTTCAAGCATACATGTTTACAACCACACACACATGTGTATGTGTATGTGTGTGTAATATATATATATATATATATATATACACACACGCACACATACACATACACATGCGTATGTGTGTACATGGTTGTTTGACTTATTTGTATACCTGTCCTTTTTCGTACTATTTCAACGCGGAGTATTCATCATCTCAGAGCGCTTGGACTATGGCTTCTTCAAGTTTCTCCCCACACGTGTGGGCTGTGGGACTTGTATTAGGACATACCGTAACCCCCAAAACGAACCGTGTTGCGGACATATACTGGCAGCTCATATGCGGACACCAGAGCATGCAGGTTTTGCAGGCTTGCGGTGAGGCCTACGCCAGCTATCCACGGCTCAGACAGGGATCGGTTGAATCCATCGGGAGATGGAGGAGAATCTGGTCGGATGGATGTGTAGTCTTCACGTGGGCGGATGTGAAGCTCTGACCCTCGTTTTCGAAGACAGACTCTGCCGATCACCTGGGGAGCAAAACCCTGAACACTGAACCCAACATTTTTGCAAGCAAGCTCGAAGGATAGCACCTCGAACTACCCTTCCCGGCTGCTTGGGCTTCAAACTCTTTTGAAGAGTCGGTGCCATACAGTAGAGATGCAGCAATTCGAGTTTGCATTTTTTCCATCCCAGGCTGCGCTCGCACAAAGCCCGTTGAGGCCAAAAAAGTCCAAAACATGCAGTCCGAAAAAACCCTTATTACTTCTTTGGCTCGCCTTTGTCTCCTGTCTTCTTCTTCTTCTTCTTGTCCTCTGTCTTTTTCCCTTCTGTGCATCCCACTAGCTCTAAACAATCCGTAGACGGTTCGAGCAACCGAAGGTGAAGCCCCTGTGTTTTTGTGACGGATTCATTTGACACGTCATCATCGTTGCAAGTTAATATCTTCACGATGCAGACAAAATCCAGCGGTGCGCGGTGAGCTGAAGAAGCGTGCCAGGCTCATCACAGCAAAAGTACAGCAGGCGTTTAGCTTGTGCAGGTGTGCCTGGTGACTTGGATAGGTTGCCAAAGGCAAGGGTAGAGAGTCTTAATGGTGGGTACTACTACGGAAGATGTAGGGGTTTCGCATGAATCTGTTGGAGGGAGTCGTGCGAAGGTTTTTTGCTTTGGAAACATGGTATACCTGACAACCTCAACTCAGGTGAGCTTGACACGCGCCTGGAGAAGAACGCGCCGGCGAAGGAGGTGGAGAGTTTTGTCAAGGCCGGAGAGCCTGAACAGGGATTTTCTCGCTTCTCGAGCGCCCAGTTTGTGTCCCTGCTAAACCATATATGTCACATGAAGTCTGCAGCTTGGCGGACATTCCTATCACCAGGAGCCCCGAGAAGGAAACCGTGAGTGTACCGGAGACCCCCGAAGCCTACATAAGTGGTTTAGGGTTTAGGGCCTGAGGACCCGAAAAGTCTAGCGCTACAGCCCTGCCAGGAGACGTTCCCTGCGACAGAGGACTTTCCTCCAGGCCCTTCCCTTGCCAGGCGCAGCAGATGTCGAGGAAGTTTGGAATGTTAATTAGCCTGAGTAGTAAGCACAAACCCTGCTAGCCTTGTGTTGTGCTGAGCCAAAGTGCCGTCGTGTTATACCTATCAGCCTTAAGAAAGAAAGCCCAAGCCCAGAAAGTTAGAATTTGGACGGAGGTTTCTCGACAGACTGTCATGAGGAAGTGCGACGTTCCAGCCCTTAGCTTCGACTGTATTGTCGTGCGACCATTTCAAGCAGATTTTCCGGAGCTTGGTGCCCTGCATTCCAAGCCATAAAGCCTTAGAGACACAACCTATGCTAAGCTCGAAACTATGTCGGTTCCTACCTCAAGCTGGTCATTTTCTTGCAAGATATGTGGTTTGAATCTGGGGGCCTGGGTTTGGGTCGTTATCTCAAGGATTACATTGTGAGTTTTAGAGGTTTAGGTTGTGGTCACTCGGTTCCAGAAAGGTTACTAGTAGAACCGTTAGTATCATGGGTTGGGCGTACCCGAGCCCATGTGTGCTTCTTGTTTTTGTTCGCTTCATGCGTGGCTTCGTCGAAACGCGCCAGCATGCGCCAGCTTAAAAGCGTAAACCATTTGGTTTATCATCTGCGACCTGTAGGAAGCTCTACGAGCTGGCGGAGAAGAAGGCGATGTCAACCAGCAGCCTGTGGCCGCAGGCGGGGTTTACTTCCAGGTCTCTCGGGTTTCATTGTCTTTTCGCAACTTGAAGCTCAAACGCTTCTCCCACTTGAAGCTGCCGTCTTAATAGCAGCTAGCAGCAGCAGCAGTAGTAGGAGTATGGGTACGTGTAGGTGTTTCTGGTGTAGTCGGAGTGGTATATAGGTGGAGTAGGTGTAGTAGCTGTAGAAGGTAGGAGCGCAAGCAGCCGTAGTAGTAGTAGTAGTAGTAGTAGTAGTAGTAGTAGTAGTAGTAGTAGTAGTAGTAGTAGTAGTAGTAGTAGTAGTAGTAGTAGTGATTAGTCAAGGTGGTACTAATATGATGGGCTATTTTCAGGGTACTGCCGGACTTGAGGACAACATCAAGCCCATGGGGAGGCTCGTAGTCGTAGTTACTTTCCCAAGCCCCGCGCCCACCTAGATACTTCTGGACATTTGCAATAAGCTCAAATTCTGAACTGCTCTCCCCCTCTCTTGCAGCACAAGTGGCAACCCTGCTTGAACCCCTTTAAGCCCGCTACACGGCACCACATGAAACCCCTACATGGCAGTTTCCGCAAATTAGGGGAGTACCTGAGTTTGGGGTCCTTCTAATGAGGACCCTACTATTTAGGGCACTACATTGGGGTCCCCTATTTTCGGAAACTCCTATATGAAGCCCACCCCAAGTCCTAAGAAAGTGAAGGTCGTGTCCGTGACCGACCAGCTCTTGGCAGCTGCCGAGCACTTCAAGCCCATCTTCGAGGTTGGACAGACGGGGAGTTTAGGGTTTAGGGCTTAGGATTTAGATGCTGCACAATGTGCAAGTCGGAAATCTGAATATCAATGTCATTCTGTATCTATATACATAGGCCGAAAAAGGCTCGAGGCCGTCGTGCCACAACCAATATCCCGGAAAGTAGACGATCCATTGTTTGTATGCAGCATTCCAGAAGGACATTACATGTATTCGGAGGGTGTTCCACGGGCATTGTATGGTGTTTTGTGCTTTTCGAGCTCAACTTCTGCATTTTCCGGCCTGTCTTTTAAAGGACCCTAGAGCGTTCAATGAATCCTCGACGTTTCCGGACGCGAATCGTGATCCCTGAGCTCCTTCGATGCCCGAAGTGTGAATGGTTGGGGTTCGCTAAGCTTGAGCTGAAGACCACACCAAAGCCCAAATCGCGAGTTTCGAAGCAGAAGGACTCTACGAAGCCTTGCACAAACATGACAAGTCCGAGACCTGAAAGCCATCCCACCAAGCCCAACACCCGGGTGTAGGATCACCGGAGCTCAACAGAACAATAGTTAAGGACGGACTCCTGTAATCCTGGCGTTCCATACCTTTTTCGTCCGACGAAGGGCGCTCTCAAAATATGTTTCCATCTGAAGGATCAGAGGGCTCATAGTCCGTCATGTACACCCAAGCACCCTGCAGGAGACGGTGAACGTGCCTTGATTGCGGTGAGGTGGTGCTTGCTTTATGGGGGCCGTGGGCAAATTAGGGCTTCGGTGCTTTCTTCTGGAGTTGAGCGTAGCTGGGTTCCTGGCATTCTTGGAGTCTTTAGGCATCGGGCCTCTGTGAGATTCCACAAACCCTCCACCCTGTGTATACTTCGCATGCTGACGTATGAAGGAGGCATGACTTGTTTTCGTTTGTGCTATTGCAGCATAGTGTTTGAGAATCCGGGTTCCTAAGGCTTAATATGGGGCCTTATAGTGTTACCATGTGTTACCTACACTATTTTGGCGGTTCTTTATGATATTTATAGTATGATGGGCACCAAAACCCTATTCTAATCATTAAAGCCCCCATGTATACTAACCCCAAACCTGGGGGAGTTGATTCGAGAGGCAGGCGCTTGCCTGGCATTTTCTGATGTGCAGCGAACAGCTAGTGTAAGATCCAAAAAGTTGGAACATGATTCTCCTTATGCCCTTAAATTAAAGTAAAGTATAAAGGATCCTAGCACTAATCCTCTTAAACCCATGTTCCAACTTTCTGAGGTTCGCTGTAAGATGTGTCAGCATGTAGGAAGCATGCGAAACCCGCTGTAGCAACGGGCCGCGCAAGAATGAAACTGCTGTACGTGAGCCACGCTATTTGCTCCCTCATAGGCAAAGCCCTCAGCCCTCGTGGTATTTACCAGGTCGCAGGGGTTTCAGGGACTTTACTGGATGGCTCCGCTGTTTGGCCCTGAATCGTGAATGTGCTCTCACCAAATACCAGTCTCTGCAAACCCCATCCTGGGATTTATGGGGTCAGTGGGAGACGGGTGCGGGAGGGGCGCGTGCTAAACCCGAAGTGCCGCGCCTACCTTCGCGGCTAGAAGTCATCAGCCTGAACGAGCCTTTCCTGCTGTGTGCGAGAGTGAGAGACTAAACCTTAAACCCCACCAGTATCGCTGCAGACCTTGCCAGGCTTTGTCCGATTGTGAGTGTCAAAAAACCCCTCCTTCCATTAAAAATCAAAAGTAGTAAATTATGACTAAGGCGCTTTGCAAGCACGTCCAGGACCCACGGTCAGAGCTTGTCAGGATCATTGCGGAGCCTTGACATGCAGCCGAGATTCCGAAAATCACTCAAAACACTACAAACAGCTTTGGCTTACAGAAAACCTGATCGCCATACGGTTTTCTGCGCCCTACGAGTTTATTCGTAACGGCGTTGTTTTAGCAACTGGCTTCTCCAAACTGGGAACACCGGAGCATGTGGGTAGCGCAAATCACAAATCACTTGTCGGATGCTGGTCCTTAGCACGGCCGTCGCCATAGCTACCATCATGTTTACCGTAAGGCTCCATAGTAGTTCCTTTTTGGGATCACCTTTTAGGATTCTAGATGTGAACCCCAAAAAGGAACTACTGTGGAGCTTCTAGGTAACAACATCAGCAGCAGCATCAGCATCAACAGCATGGCCCTGGGCAGGACAAACTCGCTGAGAAAGCCGCCAAAGACAGGTTGGAGGGCAAGGCCATGCGGATTCAGGGCTCCGGTTTCAATATACTTCATGGGTCAGCTGTCTGTCAAGACTTCAACATGCCATAAATTAGATCCCGAATCTTCTGAGAAGGGGCCTTCCCGGTCTAAGCATCACTTTGGTCGTCCCTTGCTTCTTACACAGCCCCACAAGCTTGAAATTGCCAGATATTTGGAGCTTGAAATGAGCTGGCGCGCAAACTATGGGAGGATGATTCGATTTCGGAGTGTCTGGCGAAGCCCGTAAGCTCCAAATTCGATTGTGCACTGCTGCAGGATGCCCCCGAGGAATCCACCGAGTACGAGCTCATTCTTGGCCCACTGAAGGATCCCGTGCGGGTCCACGAGAAGGCTGCGGAATCGGTAAGTGCCCTATAACCCAGAGATCCCAATACCCCTTAAGTAAGGAATATGCCTAAATTATAGGGGCCTTAATATTATGATTTAAGGTATATTCCTTAAGTAAGGGGTGTTGGGCTCTCTGGGTAACCCTGGGGCGCCAAACAGCCCGAAGTAGGTACTATGTTTATAGATCATTAAACACTCCGGTTTTGACACAGCTTTTAAGGAGCCCATACAAAGGGACAAACAGCCGCTAGTGCCGAACCAGGCCAGAAAGACAGCACTCTAGGGGTTTGAGATGGTCTGGGTAATTCTTAACAATGTAAACCCATAAACTCTGAATTCCTCAAACCCTGCCCCAAATCTCTCTCGAATCCTTACTCCCTAAATCCTTAAACCTCACAGTAAACCCTATAAAGTTGGAAACCGAATTAAGGCCAAATAGTGCTGGCATTCCCTACACATTACTCTTGAGCCTTGGGGCTATGGAGTTTCCAAACTTTGGGCTTCTACTTTAAACCCTCAAACCTAAACCAAAGCCTAACCCCTTAAACCCCTTTGTCCGAGGGTGAGTGTCCCTAAATCCTTAAACCTCGTCAGGCTTGTCCGACTTGCGAGAGCGTAAACCCTTAAACCTCGAAGCTTAAATCCTCAAATCCCAAAGCTCCGACTTCGATCTGGGAGCAGGCCGTTGACGACTATGCCGACCGTTTCAAGGCCCGGGTCCTTAGGGTGCCTTGCTTGGGGTGTCATCCCGGTCTTGATAGAGTGTCTATGAGTGTCTTTAGGGAGGGTTTCGTCGGTTTTTGAAGTGGTCCGTGTTGCTTTTTAGCATCTGCTAAGGCCAAGGTTTCCTCTCAACGCCCGAAGTGCATAGGTTTAGGAATTAGGGTTTCCCGGTGCAGCGACTAGGCTTTCGGGGTTTGGGCTTCAAGGGGTTTGGGCGGCTTTTTAGCTCGACTTTCCCCAGCTGCGTGAAGGGTTTCGGGGTTTGTGGCAGGAACTTCCCCACATGCCAGCTGTTGCTAAGCACTTGCGATGCGAACGTTGGGAGTTATTCGGTGTTCAATTTTGCATCGCCTTTGCCCTAAGGCCCCAAAGTAGTTCCTTTTTGGGGTTCATATTTAGAATTCTATAATTCTATAAGGTAATCCCAAAAAGGAACTACTTTGGGGCCTATGGGTGGTGTTATCCGTGCAGTGAACTCATGTTGGGGTAGATGCCTTCAGGACAAGACTCAGACAACTCAGGAAAGCCCCTGCCTGAGGGAACCCCCGGAGAGTTTAGATTACAACTTGCCTAGTTACTGAACACATACAAATTCGTACATACATGCTTATGACTTATGTCTGATCAGCGGATTAACCCGAAGCGTGATTCCAGCATCTGTGCGCAGTAGGTGTTGACAGCGATGACTCCCAGGTAGACATCCTGTTCGTAGCATGTCCTATTGGGTGATATGAATCTACGACTACGCCTGATTGCGATGTTCATGCGTGCCCGTGACACTGCGGACCATCCTCTCAGATCTGGCCCTACCCGTTCAGAAAATGACAAAATGATTATGAAGCTACGCCCCGGGAATGCTTACAGAGCCTTGCACATGTGCCGAACCTTCTACGATCGTTCTTCGGCCAGGAGCATCTCGCTGAAGCAAATGTTGTGGATGTGATCCGCGCGAGGTTAGTTTGCAGCTGCCTGTCAGCCATAGATCCGTCAGAGCAATGAAATCTGAAATCGCAGATATGCCACCATGGGCCCACATACCATTCGCGATGCTTCTTATCCATGGAGGGTTATCCGAGGCAGTGGCAAGCAGATGAAGACATTTCTGGAGATGATTGCCATTGGCTTTCCCTACGAGGTTCGAGCAGTTTCGTTCATGTTTGCGAACCGACATGAAACTCCAAAGATTAAAACCCACACTCAAGCCGTACACCGTTTCGGAGGGTTTCGCTTAGTTGCCGGTCGGTTCTGCTTGTTGGGCTTGGGTTGGGCTTTCGGCGCGGGCTCTTCTGGCATGGCAGGCCTGGGCATACTTGGTTAATCTTCGGATAGTGGTGGTACTCTTTTCTGCGACATATTGCGCAAAGGAGCAGTGCTTATGCAGGAGGTCTGTTTGTCTCTTTTTCTCTTTTTCTAAGCACGGCAAACACAAGCAACTGTAAGTTTTCTGCGGATTCTTTGGCAGCAAAATTCTTTCTCAACCCGTTTTGCCGAAGCGACACTTACTTGCGTTCTTTCCCTGGGTCCCTGCACATTAGACCAGCACTTAGGAATTCTCATTGTCGTTATGTCATAATGCCCATACCCTCGAGAGTCCCGCCGCCCAACTGCTGATCCTGCAACAATCACCGTTAACGGTGCGCCAACGGTTTGGCAGCCTCCGATGCTGTGACTCGAAATCCCTAACCCCTTAAACGAGTATGCGTGTCGAAACCCCCTAGACGCCCTAAAGCCACTAAACCTCAACCCTACACCCGAAAATCCAAAAGCCCCAAGCCCCACAGCCTACTCCAACCCTAAGACCATGGACCTCTATATCCCGAAACCCCATACGCCCCTTGACAGACCCCCTCAAAGGTGGACGGGCAGGCGGTTAAACTGGAGCTTGCCCGCGTGAAGAACAAGTTCTCTTCCAAGGCACAGTCAGAAGGGCCTCCTAAATCCCCAAAGCCCCCATAAACCACTTGAAAACCTTAAGTCAGAAGGGCTTCCTAAATCCAAATCAATCCCCAAAACCACCTAAACAGAATTTACAAAACGTTTTAAAACCTTGAACACCCTAAAAATCCTGAAGACCCTAACCCCCGAACCCGAAACGTTTGGCGTTTTGGGGGTTTTGGCTTCCTGGGCCTTCGTCTTGCAAAAACAGGGGCCGAATGATTCAAGCAAGCCTAGACGCTGCAAAGCTCGAAAGGTGCACATATTCCAACCGTAACTTGGGGAGAGTTTGGGGAGCAAATTGGAATCGGTATTCGCCGTGGTCTACACCTGATCGGTATTTGGATGATTACATACAAGTCTGGTCACACCACATGCAGACCCGATAGAAGCCTTGCCGCAGTCAAAGCTCGTTGGCATGTGGACATGGAGACTGGACACCCAAAGATGCAAGAAATCCGTGCACAGGCTCTTAGAGCTCAGAGAACTTACGGGTTCAATTCTCCTGCGTTTTGATCAGTTGCAGGCTACAAGTTTCACACGACCCCTGCGATCCTGAGTCAAGCGAAGTTTGCGTCGAGGACAGCGATCCTTCACGCTTCCGAAATGTGCTGCTGAACCTGGAGCTCTCATGCAACTTGCTGCTAAGGATTGCAAGCTTCCGTCGTCCTCGTAGTTCCAATAAAACCCTGTAGTTCCGACATGCACTTCGTGAACACGAGTCACTAGTGCATCGGTCTCTCAGCTTGGATTATCTTCGTTACTACCGCTATGTGAACTTTCAAGTATGCTGCGTCCAAGGGGAAGTTTCTGGATATGCGTCTAGGAACCATAAGTTTTTTGTTGTATCTGCTGTGCTGAAAGCACTGGAAGATTGAGACCTCGCTGCACATTACGCGCTTAGGATCTCAGTCAGGGCTCTTGTCAGGCCTCATGTTGTTGTTTACGGTCCAGGGTCTTACAGCAACCCTCAACTTAGCCTGACTGTTGGAAGTCTTTGTCATAGTTGGGTAATGTTTTACATCTTCACGGGTACCTAAACAAAAGAAGGAATCGAAAGCTAAGTTTTCAATACTATCCCAACCATGGACTAGAAGTCTCACAGCCTGAATCGCCCAAAAGTTGGATCAAGGAAACCCAGCTCCCCTCTGAGCTCTGAGGCGGGCAGATCTCCCACTTTGTGGAGCTGCAGGTCCACCACCAGTTTCCCGACTGCGGTGAAGATTTAAGATCAGAACTACTCTTGTCAAAGCTAACTAACCCCAAATCATGAACCTAAAACGCTGCTACGATACTATCCTAAACCCTAAACGACCATCTGCCAGTGAGGCTTCGTTTGCGGTTCCAGCTTGGGGAGTTTAGGACTTAGAGCTGGCCTCGAACTTCACCACCCTAAGGGTCCAAGTACCTAATAATCATATACTCTCCCAAATAATAACCTACAGAACTACTATCCGAAGCCTAAGTACCCCGTTCTTGGGTCCTTTGGACCCTTAGGGCCAGATGGGTGATTGTCAAAATTAGGATCCCTTTCTGGGTCTGGGTACCCTAAATATTAGGTGCCGTATTATAATAGGGACCCAAAAAGGGAGCATCATTTTGACAACCACCCAGATAGCTGAAAGCCCAACAGCCCCAGAAGCCCTGAACTGAAGCTGGCTGGGTTAGCAAAACCACTCAGCCCTACCATGAGAGACTCACTTGTTGGCGTCTGGGATTTTGCTGAGAATTTACACTGGAACTTGTAAATATGCAGCAGACCGGCATCCTCAAGAATTTCACCAATACTTCCAACCTGTGTGTGGTTGTTTGTGTGTTGTGTGTGTGTGTTTGTGTGTCCAATGTTGTCTCTTTCGGTTGAATAGTGTGAGCGGAGGCTTGGGCTGCAGGAAGCATATCACTTGACCTCATGCGGCATCAGTGCTGTGTTTTTCTCACTCGAGCTGTCGCAGTTGCGTTTCAGGTTTATGCTTTGGAGTTTAAGGTTTTGTGTTTTTTTCCTGCGGAGATGGAGTATTGCTCAAGCATATGTACTTGTGCCGTATACAGACATTTGTACTAGAGAGCGAAATCTTGGGCTTGAGATTTGGGTTGCCACCCATCGAGCCCGGCAATCACCGACAGCTCGCTATGTTCAGGGTGTTGTTCTAAGCACGAAGCCTCCAAATTGAGCCTTCAAACCAGCCGACGTCCCTGAAACAAATACCTTAAGTCTTAACACGCCCATGACACTGAATCAGTACGCATTCAAAATGCTGTCCAGAAAGGATCGAAACTAAATCTAAGCCGTTGCCAAGTTTTTTCTTAGCTGCTGAATCAGTTTGTAGTTCAAGACGTCTTGGTCATTCTTGGTGCTTGTTGTTCCCGATACTACTTCTGTTTCTAAAGCTGGCAAGTACTTCGACTGCTTTTTGGTTGCTCGCTCGTGGTTGTGCTACCGGTGCTGGTGGTAGTGGTTGTGATGGTAGTGGTAGTGTGATTGCTTTCCGTTAGCGTTTGCCTCTGGTTTCCAGGTTGATCCTGGGCTACAACGAAGCAACTCGCCTCATCTCGGAGCAGGGTTCAGTGATTCAGAGTTTGAGACGCGGGGTTGAGGAGCTTGGACCTGGATTCGGGCTTCATTCAGGTTTTTTCCGGTAGAGGTACGGGCTTCAAAGCTGTTGGATGAACAGGGCTTCAACGACTCAGTGGTGAGGATCTTGCATTTTGCATGCTATGCCATGCAGCTACCCAGTTCTCCAACAGAAGATCCGCAATGCCGCATGATACTGCTGTACCGTATGTAGGGCTCCCTTTTGTTGTTAGGCCTTTGGCATTTGGGCTCCTTGTCTTTTCTGCTGGGGCTCCCTGTCATAATAACGTAGGGTTCCTTACGACTGAGCAGTATAGGGCTTGGACATGTTCTCGAAGCTCTTCTTAACTGTAATATGCCCTAAACCCAGTTCTAACGCCCTAAATTAGGTCGTCGGAGCCAGAAGACCCTACACTACAGAGGTCAAGGTCTGAAGCGCAGGGTGAGGGATTCGAACTCAATGGCACTAAGACGAGCCACGCCCATGACTTCTACGACTACTTCCGGCGGGAGTGATCTTGGCTGAATGAACTCCTAACTCCCGAGCTTTTGATAGCCGAAGTGGCCTGTCGTCGTTAAGGACTTTGTTGCGAAGTTGCCTGAACCTTTTCCGGAAACTTAATCTACACCCTGTGCCCTGACCCATTTGCAATTTGCGGGCTGGTCCGTTGCCGCGCCATCTACACTGGGCTGCGCATGGTTTTGCTTGGACATTTTTGAACACATGCAGTTGTCCACAGCCTGACGTCTAAGCAGTTCGGAAGGGGTTTCCATTCCGGGTCAAGCATGTTTGAATCGGAGAAGTATGTGGGCAATTGCTCTTGGTCATCCTATAATCAGGGGCATTCTGACTTTCTTTCGAGGGCCAGGCTTCCACGACGAATATTGCGAACAACTTCATAGGCTTCCACTCTAGACTCCACGTCGGAAGATACAGTTTTTTCCCGCGAGTGTCAGTGCTTGAGGTTGCGCAATACCTACGGACAGGACATGGAGCACAGCCACTCAGCTGGCAACTGCGTCCGTGGTTTTTGTGCCATCATATGCGCCTGAATTACAAAACACTGAGCAACTGAGCAAACACTTGGGTGCTTCAGGAAACACATGCCCGCATTCATACAGGCATACATGCCAACACGCATGCGATGGTGTGTGGGTGTGTAGAAACATACATGAGTCGTTTATCTCCGCCGATGTCGTGCAGACCAACCTTTCCTGCAGCGATAGAAATTTCAATTGCATCCTGTCCAAAGCCAACTTCCCAGATCTGAACTTCATGCTGGAGCAGCGGATGCAGCTGTTTAAAGCTCCTTGTCTGTGATTGCCTTAGGGTTCAAAGCTTCTGCACCGTTCTTTCTGGAGATTTGGGAGGGGAAAGGAAAGTTGAGAGTTCCAGGCAGTCGTTAATCTGTGATCCTGGCGAGTGGGAGGATTATACCCAGTAGTTAACAAGTGAGACGAAAGTCAGGTGAAAGTAACTCTGTGATACTAAGACCCCTACCTGTCATTTGCTCATGCAAGCAGCTGAGCTTCAGGGTTGCGGCCTTGGTTGAGATCCTTTCTCAAAGTAGCCTTAAAGGTGATGCTGCTTCTGGCACACCCATAACATCGCACGACCCTAAGAACCCTGAACCCTGATCCCTATAAACCTTAAAGGCCCCACACCCCTAACACCGCAAACCCTAAACCCTAAACGCCCGTAAACCCCAAACCCTAAACCGCCTTTGTGGAGTTCTCGCAACAGGAGATCTCAGAAGTTCCGGTGCTTCTGACCGTGATGACCATGGCTTTGCTGAATTCCAGTCTCCCGGCCCCAGGTTAGGGGTAGGGTTTAGGGCTTATATCTTAGGTTTACAGCTTAGGGCTTTGGGCATCACGGTTTGGGGTTTGGCAGTCGAACGGCTTACAGTTTGGGTGTGTTTCAGGTTCTTTAGGCACTGTACAAGGGATTACCAAACTTGCTGATGCAGCAGTCCTTCATTCATTGTGGTGGAACCCTCAATATTACTTCGGGTAGTTTTCTGAAGCTGTCGGTCTGAAACTTCAGTAACTTGTTTCAGGCATGTTCTGCCATGTTTCTGAAGTATTGCAGTCTTGGGGTGTAGGACTTCTCATTGAGAAATGCGCGAAGCTGGCTAGACAATGCAAGACATATTATGCGCACGCCTCAACAAGACCCTCTTCATCAAGTAAACTACCCGCCAAATTTGGCACAGATGTTCCACATCGGCCAAAGGAGAGTAGGGAGGTCTAGGCCAAAGAATTGGTTGTCCCCACACAAACAGGCAAAACCATTGCATACGTAAATATGAAGCCAATTGCAATGTTTAGAGCCGCCCCTCGTGCCTGCGTTCTCGCCCGTAGTGGAGGTGAAACAACTTCATGCCCGGCAATCAATTTTCAGGATTTTCCCGTTATTCGAAAGGTCTTGGGCTCTCTTGGTTTGGGGATCTGGGGCGCTGACTTGTTATCCCAGCTTCATCTTTGCATCACTGAGGCCAAATGCCGGGCAATCTACTCGAGCTCTACGTGCCCTGATTTGCAGTTGGATTGGGATGAACCAAGCCCCGCAGGCTTCTCCATATGCTAATGTTGTCTTATAGTTTGTGCTTGATGCTACTACAGGAGGATTCTCAAACTCTAATTCCGCGTACGCAGGCAAGTTCAGGATGTGGTACATACCCACTGCTGCAAATTTCATCGAGGACGATCGCAGTGTTCTGACTATGGTCGAACTTTCTTTCTCCAGCATCCACAGGTGTAAACAACACTTGCTCAATACGCTTGCGTCCTCCACGATGTTTTGTGGGGCTTTTCTGTGGAACTACGAACAGAGTCCGACTCTGCTACAGTACCTTGCTAGGTGCTACGTACCTCCACCGGCATACTTGCTTGGTATCATGAGGTCATTTTTTGTCACAGTTACAAAAAATGCTTGTGATGTGTAGGGCGTCCCATTGTTTCGACTGAGTCTCGGTCTTTAGGCATGAGCGCGTTTGCTTTTGCTTTTGTTTGTCTCTCGACTGCATGTTTAGGGTTCTCATGCCGCCGCCCTCCGAAATCATCAGTGATCACGTTGGGCTCAAGACCAGCTCCAGTTCACATGCCGTGACCCGCTTTTGTCACTCCTTCCTAGCGATGCCGTGCTTGCAGAAGAAGCGGCTTTTCTTGAAGCTTGGAGTGATGGTCGCGCTGCTGGCACGTGGTCCACTTTTCAGCATTAATGATTTTCGTGCTCCCGCTAGAAATGTCGATCTTGGGCTTCGGCTCCAGGGGTCTCCCAAGCATGTCAGCAATTTGGAAGTCGGCCAGATTGTGGGCTACCGCCTAGACTGCGGTGTCATTCATGCTGGTATCTATGCAGGACCTGGCAGCTTTGAGCTGATGTTTAAGTGTGGCATGGTCCTGGACCTACACAAGCACTATGTAATCGAATTCAGTGGCCCTCAGGAAGATGCTTCTTTCCCGCAGAGTTTCGGTAAAGGCGGGCAAAACATAGTCGTCTCGCCCATGCAAAGCTCGACAGAGTAGCTTGTGTTTGAACTTGCGGTGTTTCAGTACGGCTTGCCGTGTCCGTATCAGGGCGTATCTGGTGAGGAGGCTCTTGAACGCGCTCTAAGCAAGCTCGGCACCTGTTTCGGAGGCTACGACGCAGTAAGAAACAGTTGTCAGCATTTCTGCCTCTGGGCGAAGCACAACACGACACGGATGCTTGTGAGTAATGCGGCCCCGGTAACATTTCCCTTTCCAATTCCTGTGTACTATCGTTACTGTCTGTATACAGATACAGCTACGGCAAAGCTAGAGCTCGTAACAAAAGACCAGCTGATGGCACTGCTTTTTAGGCTTTGTTTTGCGTTACTTCTCGGCCTGTGTGTGGCCCTGTGTCTTTACGAGAAGAGATTCTGGATTCAGACAGATTCCGACCTGAAACTCGAGTGAGTCCACACTGAGTAGATTGTGTGGACATCAAGGCACAGAGGGTCAGATGCTTGCAAATTTTGCTGCACAAGCTCCCACATGCAGAAGTTCACAAGCAACCTGCTTTAGCTGGGACTTTAGGTATGTGTGCAGCCGCGTGTTCCAACCCACGTGTTCTTGCTTTTCGACGTTATTCGAAGAGCCATGCGCTCTGTTTGTAGCAGTCCAGAATGGTCCAGAAGTTCATGGTCCTGAGGATAGCAGGCCAATGGTGCATACTGTGTTTGCTGATGCGGCGCGAAAAGCATCTCTTCTCTGAGTGTCTGGTTGCCTACAGTGTTGCTCGTGCTTGTTGTACGTTGCCGTCTGATTGTTCTTCCAGTGGGACTTTGGGTTGGGTGGCCGGTCATGCGGTGGGATTTTGGTTTAGTTATAGTTGTTAGGATTTGATGGGGTTCATTGGGCCCTAAGGCCCCTCAACCCCCAGAATTTCCAACAAAAGCACAACAATGAAAACACCGTTCAAAACCCTGACCTTGAATCTGGACTCTCCGAACCAGACAAAGCGTAGGTTGAGGGCGTCAGGCGGGTTCAGGGTTTTTCGTGTAGGGTTTAGCGGTTTCGGGCTTCGGGATTAGGGGTTCAAGGGGTCAAGCTTTGGGCTTGGAGCTTCAGCTTCATGCTCCAACTGGACAAAGGGACAGGTTAGGATTTGCGAGTTTTCAAGTCGATGGCTTGGAGCCAATGCTGTCTAATTTCTTTTGGCTGCTGAGGCCATGCATCACTTAAAAGCCCACCACCACATCCTCGCAAGCAACGTACAGGCATCAAGCCCAACAACATGACCTATATGGGTGGTTGTCAAAATTAGGGTCCCTTTTTGGGTCCTTATTATAATACGGCACCTAATATTCAGGGTACCCAAAAAGGGACCCTAATTTTGACAGCCACCCATATAACTATGGGGTCACGAACCATCATCGGGTAGAGAGCCATGCAAGCACGCATCCGACAACCCTCTACGCGAAACAGAACGCGAAGACCCTGAAGGTCGTAAACCCACGAACTTCCTAAACCCTAAACCCTCAACCCCTAAACCCTAGGAGGGAAAAAAAACCCTAAACCCCAAACCCCTAAACCCTAATCCCCTAAACCCTAAACCCTAAACCCCTAAACTCTAAACCCCTGAACCCTGAAGACGAAGTTCCTAGGAGCGCGGCCTCCGAAACATGCTGCTGGGCAGCCTCAAGGAGGCCTGGGACTCCCTCTGGTCCACGAGCCGCGTAATGAAGGAAGATTAAGGGTTCCCTTTAAGGGCCTTTTTAAAGGGATGTATAGGGATTCTATAAGGGTATAGGGTCTAGGGCCTACTTGGAGGTTCATGGGTAGTTATAAGTGGAGCCATAAGTAGAGTAACTATACTTTTAACTCCTACTAGGGGACTCATACCCCTACTTATAACTACCCATGAACCTCCAAGTCCCGGAAGCCCTCCTACAAGTTACAGTAGAGGGCTTGGAACCTAGTGCCTGAAGCCTTCAAGACCCGAAACCCACCAGCCCCACGCTTCAAGCCCTCAAAGGAGCAGGCCGGAG